TCTTCTAGGCATTGGTGATAAACACACAAATTTTTACATAATTGTAATCATGGTAGACCCACAACTTTGATTTGTTTTCACTTCTATCCAACATTTCTCCCCTCATCCTACACAGTCTTTTCCAAGTTGTAGGAATTTTAAATAGTGGTCAGAACAAAAGTCTATTAGCATCTTCTTGTGGCATCTCAATGTCGTATCTCGCAATTGTAGTGCTGCAATTTATTAAACCATCGCACACTGGACATTAGTACGGGTTTTGTCAATAGTTATACATTGGAAATTATCTGAAGGAAAGGATATCTTAAGACTCTTTTATATTCCTAGTCCCTAGCAAAGTGATTCAATCAATATTTATTAGATGGACAGATAATGAACACCTTTAGGCAAGCGTAACTTTCCTTTTATTTTTTCTTTTGGGGGGGGGTTACTGGGAATCAAACTCAGGGACTCGCGCTTGCCAGGCAGACACTGCACCACTGAGCTACATTCCTAGCCCTATAACTTTCCTTTTCTGTTGAATAATTTCCTGAATAATTTTTCCTGTGACCAGTAAGTCTAAGCACATTATTTTTGGCATTGTACATTATGGCAGATTATGTTCTCCAAAACTAGCCACACCATTATATGTATGCCCCATGGGATGGTTATGTGGTGATAGGGATTGTCCCCATCGGAGCTGGGCAGCTCTCTGCAGCTGCCTGGATACAGCAGCAAAGTGCTGTGGCCTCCTGCTGCATGCGCCCCTGTGCAGCTCAGCTAGGAGGGTTGGAGAGGTGGCGCCAGCTCCGCATCCTGCTGAGGGCCCTGGTAGGTGAGACTGCTGGCTTTCCCTTCCCAGCCACCATTTAGAGACCCTGTACTACTGAGTCAATCTTTCGTTTTCCTTCTTTCCTTCCTTCCTTCCCTCCTCTCTCTTTTATTTTCTCTTTCTCTCCCCACCTCCCTCTTCCTTTCCCCTCTCTCTTTGCAATACTAGGAATTGATCCAGGGCCTTCACGCTGACATCTCTATCCTTCTTTAAAGTTTTTTCAGACAGGATCTCACTTAATTGCTCTGGTGAGATTTGAACTTGCCTCGGTCTCCTGAAGTGTTGGGATTACAGATGTGCACCACTGTACCTGCCATGAATCATTTTTCAACGAGCCCAGTGGAGGGGGTGTGGAACTTACATGGGACTCTTTGGGCTTCCCTTCTACAAGCTTAGATTCAGCCACTGACTGCCAGCTCCTTGCTTTTTTCCTTCTCTGCCCCCTCTACCCACCAGCTGGAGAGCTCTCATGATCTTCAGCGTAGAAGTCACATTTACTGCAAATTTCAGTTCATGGAAAGCAAAGGGCTGCTTTTCAAGTGACCCTTGTTTACTTAACCCAGTTTCCTTGGCAAATATTTACTGAGCACCTTACATGAACTTGTCCTTAGACCTCATGGAACCCAAATCTAGCAGATGCTGCAGCAGGAGAAATCTGGAGTTTTTCTCTGGCATTTGTTCTAGCAGTGCCCAGCCACTGTGTTCACCAGGACAGGGTCAGGAGGGAATACCAGCCAAGTGTGGTTGTGCATGCCTGTAACCCCAGTACTTGGGAGACTGAGGCAGGAGGATTGCCATGAGTTCAAGGGCAGCCTGAATTACAAAAAAAAAAAAAAAGAGAGAGAGAGGAAGGGACATCAGTGACGTGGAGTTCTCTCACCAACACTACTCACTACTGGGATGGGTGAGTGGAAAGGGACTGTATGTAGGGAAATGGAGATATGAGTAGAGGCAAGCAACTTACTCAGGTGTAGCAAGCAGTTCAAAGAAAATTTCTCTGGCTACAGCATGGAAAATGTCTAGCGTCATAGGAGAGCATATTGTAGGATGTGGATTTGTCCCCAAGTATGATCCAAGCCACTTGGTCTAAGTGGAGCCTAACCACTACTTTAACTCCTTGAGGAATTTCCAAGACAGCATTAAAAGAGAAAGGTTTAAAGAACTCATGCAGAACACTGAACTGGAGGCAACTGGGCTTATTTTTAGGGCTGGTCAGCTATCTTGAGATGAAAGCCATGTAACACCTCAAGCCAGCAGGTTCTGCAGCTGCCGGCTTCAGGGCAGGGGTCCCTCTGCGGATCTGTCTCATGAGTTAGGGAACCCCTCGGGCCCAGGCTCCCCGAAGATGGTTTCCCTCCCCTAAAGAGACACAGCAGTCTTTCTTTGGAGCTGGAGCTCAGTAAACTGGTGCCTGCAGTCTGAGCCAAAAGTATCACAGAGCTGCCCAATCCATCTACACGCCATGTGCTAGTCAGGCCTGTGGCTCCTCCTGAAAAACAAGTTTTGCCCCCCGCAGAGCAGATCGCCACCCTCTGACTTTCCTCCTGCGGGATGCAGTTCATGAAAGCAGAGTCTGATTCAGGGTTGTTATTTTTTTCCTGCCGGTTTAGAAGTGGGAAAGGAGGCAGCGTTTCCTTGGTATGCCAGAAAGCCCAGCCTCCAGGACATAAGGCCAGTACTGTCCAGAACTGGGGACTGGCCAGGTGTGTGGGGTGAAGGCAAGGGGGACGGGAGGCAAATCTAGAGGGCCAGCTGGTGGGTGGGGTGCGAGTTGTCAGGGCCTTGAAGATCTACACACATCTGGGCACAATCTGAAAATGAGTGTTGCTTTCCAATGCCAAAGGGGTACTGCCTAGCTCTACTTTGATTTATTATAAAAGACCTTTAAAAGCCATTTTCTTCATCTAAAAGCACTGTCATTATTTTCACTTTTAGCTTCTCAATTATCTCTGAGGTGTGAAGAGTTATATATCTTATAATTGAATCCCCACATGAAAGATTAATTGCCCTGCTTGCTAAGTGATAGAGCCCATCCGGCCGGTGGCTTTTCTAGCCAAAATGATTGGAATATTGACTTTGGGGGCAGGGAGGGAGTTTTTTGGGAGTGCTAGAGATTGGTTGTGTTGAGGACCTTCGTGCTGAGCTGCATCCCCAGCCCTTTTATTTTTTGAGACAGGGTCTCACTAAGTTGCCCAAGCTGGACTTGACCTTGTGATTCTCCTGCCTCAGCTTCCCAGAGTGCTGGGATTATGGTGTGCACCACCATGCCTTGCTAGGAAGGGATTTACTTTTATCTTTATTTCATCCATGGCAGTATCTAGGATTGTGAGCTGCTGAGAAATACTATTCTTTCAAGGTCACTATTCTCCTTGGTGGTGACCTGCACCATCCCACCCTGCTGCATTGGGCCTCTTCCTGGTATTTTTGGAAGTGCCACTCTGTGGAAGCCACAGCCTTCCCATCCATGCTATCCCAGATCAGCGCACTTCAGTCAGTGTGGGAACAGAACTGTGATGGCCATGCAGGGATCAAGTGAGATGTGGCTCAGAGATGGCGCCTAGCAATCCTGCAGACATGCAGAAAGCTGCTGGTGTACCCAGTGACTTTGGCCGTGGCACTGGGGCTCAAGAAGCCCAGTTGTGGGTTGTGCAAACTCCCCTCATTCTAGGTAAGCGGAGATGGCCTCACCTAGGTTGCTCCCAGAAGCCCTCCTGCTGGTTACGCTTGAAGACATTGCCCTGACCTACAGTCCAGGGGCAGGAGCTGGTCCTGCGAGGGATCCCAGTGCTCTCTGGGAAAATTTCTAGTGGCTTCACCCTCAGGTCACTAAGGAAGAGTCCCCAGGAGCACATGGAATCAGCTGTGTCATTTTCCTCTGCACAGGTGTAGGGCCTGGACTGCTTCCTCCTCTTAGGCCTGGCCTGGCCACAGGCAAAGCCCGTGTGCTTGGCTGGTTCACAAAATGTGCTTTGGAGAGAATGCAGCCTTTCCCAAAAGGTAGCTTCAGTCATCAGCAGGTACTGTATTCCTGAATGGCAGCTCTTATAACTAAGACTAGTAAGAAACTCAGTTCTTGTGTGAACGAGACAAGACACCATGCCACTGTTAAGACTAACAGCCATTTTTGACTCCATCCGTATGGCTGCTGAGTGCCAAGGAAGGGGTGCAGATCTCATCACCCTCAGGGAGAGCACCTGCCAGCTGGCATGGTCAGGACCAGGTCCAAACAGCAGGCTTAATCAGAATCTCAGGGCCAGGGAGCCGGCGCACTGGAAGGGGCCTCCGTGGAGGGTCGAGGATACACGGTGGGGAGCGCAGAGAACCCAACAGCCAACCCCGAAGGCTGTGCTGGCCAGCACCCAGGAGTGGGTGCAGAAGGCCAGGTTGGGGCCAGATTGTGGAAGGCTTTAACTGTCACGCTGTGGGATTTATCAGGGGCAGTGAAATGATCAAACAGGTGTTTCAGGAAGATAAATTTGAAGAGAATGTGCAGGATGAATTGGAAAATCTGGAAGCATGGCAACAATTAGGAGGCTGTGAGATTAATTAGGCCTTTGGAAGAGTCCTGTGTGAGTTGATAAGGGTGTAAATGAGCAGAGCGGAGGCAGGAAAGGAAAAGGGACAGCTGTGAGAGACATTGTTAAGAAAGAATGGATGAGGGTTGCTGTCTGATTGGATTGGGGACCCAGGGAGCTCAAGGAATCAAAGACTCCAGAGTTCTGAGCGTGGGCCTGGTAGGATGATGATCAGAGGGATCTTAAGAGGATGGAATGTGTCTCAGCAGATGCGGCCTCAGTTTCAGGTGTACAGTTGCTGGACTGGAAATGATCACCGGGCTCAGGAGAGAAGTGACAGGTGCTAGGTGATAAGCACAGAGGAGGGGAAAGGAAGTCGGGATGAGAGATGGTAAAGGAAAAGAGTGTACAGAGAGATGCCCATGGTGGCCCATGGATCCCTAGCACTGAAAAAAAAGAAATCTGAATATTTGGACCAAAAGCTACCTTCAGCCCTATAAAGAAAAAAAGACCTTTTGTCTTTATGTAGTACCAAAATTTTTCTTAATGCTTTTAATAAAGTATATGCAACTGTACAGTTTAAAAGCATAGCAACTGGTAGTATGGGCCTATATTTAGCATGTTTCAGTGATACTGTCTTTTAAAATATCATAGCAAACAGATTTAACACACAGCAAAAGCAATTAAAAGCTCTTTTCATTTGGACATCAACTTTTAAAATACAGGAACTTTTTGAAAACTTCTTGAAAAATTTACAAACTATACAAAATGGGTGCATATACAATACTCGAGAAGACAATGGTTTTAGCTACTGCCAGGTTAATGTCAATGTGATGGAAGCAATCTCTATAATACATTAGTCCAGAAAATACATGCAACTACTAGCAGCTACTTCTCATAACTTGGTATCTTTTCACTCTCTAGATATTTTGAAAATACTGTATCTAAAAACTTTACATGAATAGGACATAGTAGGATCTTAAAGAAAGGAAGTCTAAAAATAACATAGTAGTACAGAACAATGAAACAGAGCTGCTAAAACCAAAGAGGTGGGAGTGTTCTTGATGTCTACATATTCTTAACTAAAACCCAGTTAATTCTGCTAACTCAATTTAACCCAAAAGTTGAATTTTTTGAGACAGGGTCTCGCTGTGTAGTTCAGGGTGGCCTTGAACTCACAGTGATCCTCCTGCTTCAGCCTCCTGACTGCTGGGATTGCAGGTGTGCATCACCATGCCCAGCTCAAGAGTTGACTTTTTAAAATGCCAATACTGTCAAGTCTTTTTTGATAATCTTTAAAACACACATCTATGTTTTAGATATATTAATACATAACTTAGAAATTAATTTCATTTGTTTAAATACAGGCTTTATACTGATTTGCAGAACACTGGAGGATTAGAGATAAAATTAACACATTTTCTTTCATTTTAAGTACTTGCACTACTAAACAACACAACTAAAATCCATTTTTTTTTTTCATACCGGGGATTGAACTCTGGACCTTTCACTTGCGAGGCAGGCGGCAGAACCACTGAGCTAAATCCCCGGCTAAAATCCATTTCTGAGTGGAAGAATCAGGTGGATAATGCTTATTTGGGGGTTACAATGAAAAAGAGCTATTACATTTATTTAACCAAGAGGAACTGCAAGGTTTGTATTAAAAAGAAAGGTCCAGAGTGTTGCGATTTTGTATCAACTGAAATTTCTGAAAGGTAGTATTTCTTGGAGTGGAAGATACAGGACTTATTTTCACAAGAAAATGGTATACTAGCTCATTTTTTGTTAAATCTCACACACACACATATGTAGCTTATTTCAGAAGAGACGCTTAGATCCAACTTCTTCTGGTTTAATAAAGGTCTAAACATTTGGAATTAAATGACCCATTACTCGCCAAAAATCCATAAAATATTCACACCAGACAGACCAAGATTAACTCTCCTGTAAAGTGAAAAAATAGTTTTAGTAAAATTGCTTGCCAAGTGTGTAACGTCTTTTTCTAATAATGAAAACAAGAATAATCTTTATAAGAAATGTATGTTTAATTGATAACATTTAAAACAATTATGCAATAAATTATGTTATATACATGGTTTATCAGATGAATTGCAGTAATACCAATTACTTTCTTTTTTTTGTTTTTGGTACCAGGGATGGATCTTGGGTCCTTGCACTTGCACAGCAGGTGGTGAAACCACTGAGCTAAATCCCCAGCAAATTTTTTTGTTTTTGTTTTTTGGTACCGGGGATCGAATTTGGGTCCTTGCGCTTGCACAGCAGACAGCGAAACAACTGAGCTAAATCCCTGGCCCCCAATTACTTTCTTAACTGGTTAAAATCCAGGTTTAGGTTTATGGAATGCTGAAAATTAACTTTAAGAACTATCATATCAGATAACAGAAGCAATGGAACAGTTTTAGTAAGATTAGAATATCCTTTAAATTTTAAAAATGGCTGGGCCTGGTGGAGCACACCTATAATCACAGCATTTTGGAAGGTGAGGCAGGAGGATCGCTGGGCGTCCAAGGCCAGTCTAAACTACATAATGAGACCCTGTTTCAAAAAATCAAAAACCAAGGGGCCGGGGATTTAGCTCAGTGGTTCTGGCGCCTGCCTCGCAAGCACAAGGTCCCAAAGTTCGATCCCTGGTACCAAAAACAAAAACAAAAACAAAAAAACCCCATCAGGTCTCAGGGCTGGGGATTAGCTCAGTGCTGCCGCTGCCTGCCTCACAACCGCAAAGTCCTGAGTTCAATCCCCTGTACCCAAAAAACAAAACAAAAAACCCCCAAAACATCAGGTCTCAGAGTAGTAAGTTAGGGAATAATACATTTTTAAGCAAAGAAAAACACAAGCAATTTGCTCAGAAAGCTGTCTGGAGACGTAAACCCAGCACTGTTAACCCCATGTACCATGTGGGAGGTAAGCAGAGGACGAGTAGAGGGGCATCTTCACTTTCTACTGTGTACCCTGCTTTACAGCTTAAATATTTCTCTACCAAACACATATTTTTGTAATTAAAAAAATGCATGACGAATCATGTTTGTTAGGTTAAATGGCTCACAAAAGTGACTTTCCTATTTAATCTTTCTTGTATTAAAAGTATGTATGATAAAAGAGGCTAGTAAATGGTCATCAATTTCTGTTCATGTCTATTTTACACCTTTTTGTTGGTGGGGATGGACCGGGGGAGTTCAAGGCCAGGCTTTGAACTCTCAGTGATCCTCCTGGTTCAGCCTCCGAAGTGCTGGGATTACAGGCCTGTGCCACTACACCTGGGCTGTTTTACACCTTTTGTATCTAATATATTTAAGGACAGGAGCTTTTGTTTTTCTAGAACAGTACTGTCCAACAGAAACATAATATGATGCGGGCCTCAAATGCAAATCACATACATAATATTGAATTTTCTAATAGACATTTAAGGAAGAAGAAACAGATGAAATTAATTTTAAGACTATGCTTAACCTGATACATCCAAAATAGTATTTAGGTGTCTAATATACAAAATTATTATGAAAATACTTTAGTATTGTGTCTGTGAAATGTGGTACATTTTTTACATTGGAGGCGTCTCAATTCAGGCTTGCCATGTTTCAAGTGCTCAATGACTACTGTAGTGGACATCGCAGTTCTAGAACACACACCTCTAAATTATGAACGAGATGGTCAGTGTGGTGATGCATACCTGCAAACCCAGCACTTGGGAGGCTGAGGCAGAAGGATCACTGTGAGTTTGAGGGCAGCCTGAACTATATAATGAGGCACTGTGTCCAAAAACAAACAGACAGACAGACAAAACACAAGACACTCAAAACCTTTTTTTTTTTTTGGTACCAGGGATCGAACTCAGGTCCTTACGCTTGTGGGGCAGGTGGCGGAACCACTGAGCTAAATCCTCGGCCCTCAAAACCTTTTAATATAGAGATTCTTGTCAGAAGTAGAAGTGACCACAGATCCAGATGTCCTCTGCTCTGAGCCCTCTCCAACATTCTGTCAGACTTAAGTGCTTAGTACAGCAGAGCCAAACCCAGAACAAAGGTCTTCAGAGACTCCTGATTATGCATTACCAGATTTCCCCAGCTTCAGCAGGGATCCAGCTACTTCAAATATTTGATGCACTAAAATTCTGAATCATCAAAATGATAATACTGAAAGTTTGAGCCTGTTACGTGAGTTTTGTTACTAAATATGTAAGTGACTTCAGCAGACTATTTTTCTACCTTAAAGTATTTTGGGATGGGTACCCTTCTCTCCAGAAGTATAAACAATTTTCAGAATACTCTGTCTGAAATGGAATAGCTCAGAACAAAACAGATTCAATGTTTTGTATTTTAATTTGCAATCAGGCAAGAGCTTGATTTTTATTTTTTTGGTACTGGGGATCAAACTCGGGTCCTCGCACTTTCGAGGCACGTGGCGGAACCACTGAGCTAAATCCCCAGCCCCATGAGCTTGATTTTTTTGAGACAGAGTCTTGTTATGTACTTCAGGCTGGCCTCGAACTCTTGGGATATTGTCTCAGCTTCTCAAATGCTGGGGTTACAGGTGTGCCCACCAAGCCTAGTCCTCTCTCAAGAGTTGTTCCTCTAGGAGATGCAACTATAAAGTCAATGATATGGTCCAACTGCCTTTTATCATTAGGAAATGGAGGTTCTGAGGAGTTAAGGAACTTGCCCAAGATAGAAGAGCCCACTACTGACAGGGCTGAGGTAGTACCAGAAGCCATATCCAGCGTTCAGTCCACAAATCTGGTTATATGATGCTACCTTTCACAGAATCTTAATGTAGGAAGAACAACAGTAAATAAAGTACTTGTACACACACACACACACATATATACTTTTTTGAGACAAGGTCTTACTATAGTCTTAAATTCATTATGTAGCCCAAGAGGGCTCAAACTTGAGGTGTTCTAATGCCTTGGCCTCCTGAGTGCTGGGACAGCTGTGTACCAATATGCTTGTTAGTACATACATTTTTTAAAAAATTAAAAATATTTTTTCTCAAGTACATGTTTTTAAAGCATACTTACCCAAGCATTCCTGACTCTTTTGTCTTTATAATGTAGAGGAACATTAATAATGTATGAAACATATTATTTCTGCCCTAGAACCAAGACAAAAAAGACAAGACTTAAAACTAAACTGAAAAGATTCAACCAGGTAGGTAAATGCAGATTTAAACAATTCACATCCCACACCTCAAGATTTCCATATAATTCAGATTTTCACTCACTAACAAAGTAGCTATCCTTTGGGCTAGGAAGCAAGAACATCACAGCAAATAAGAAATGATTCATGATCTGTAAAGTTTTTATAGAATAAATATTCAGCTGTGAAAACTGGTTAAATAAACTAATATTTCTTAACACACACACACACACACAGAAAGAAAAGATTCATGTAATCAAGGAATTTAACATCAAGTAGAAAAGGCAGAGAGTAAACTAAGGGGTCCAACAGAGCGTGAGGAATCTTGTGACAGGGGTGTGGGATGCCATGGGAGCAAAGGAAGGCATCTTCTCTAGATGCTGAGGCAGGGAATGCATCACTTCTTCTCTTCTCTTCTTTCTCTTTCCTCTCTCTCTCCCTTCCTTTCTTTCCCATCCATCCAGCTACTGTTTTGACTTTTTGAGACAGGGTCTCACTATGTTCAGGCCAGAGTTGAACTCACTATGTAGACCAGACTGGCCTTGAACTCCCAAGTAATCCTCCTGTCTCAGCCTCCCAAGTGCTGAGGTTACAGGTGTGCACCACACCTGGTACAAGACTTTAAAGTCGAGACCTGAGGGCCGGGGATTTAGCTCAGTGGTTCCGGTGCCTGTCGCACAAGCGCAAGGTCCCCAGTTCGATCCCCGGTACCAAAAAAAACAAAAACAAATAAAGTCGAGACCTGAAACAAACAAAAAGCTAACATACTGGGTAGGTCTCACAACTGGGAACAGCATCTAATAAGGCATAGAGGAGAGCTACTCTACTATATATAATTATTGGTCTATAAAAATAGCTAATTTACACTTTCAATTTACCAATTAACTTCCAAGATTTAGCTATTGTAAGTTGTGGTGCTATAAACATTATAGTTACTTTTTAAAAGAGGGTATACGACCACATAAATAATATCAATCCATAAAAGGCCAGAGAAAGATCAAAATGAAATTTTCTATATAATAATAAATACATCCAAATGTTGTTTTTTTTTTTGGTACCAGGAATCGAACTCGGGTCCTTGAGCTTGTGCAGCAGGTAGCGAAACCACTGAGCTAAATCTCCTGCCCAATACATCCAAATGTTAACCATGGCTACCTCTGAATAAGTGATTTTTCTTCACATTTTTTTTTGGTTTTTGGCTGCACTGAGGTACATCCCTAGTCTTTTATTTATTTAATTTTACTTTTCATTTTAAGACAGCATCTCACAAAATTATTCAGGCGGGGCTAGAACTTGTGATTCTCCTGCCTCAGCCTCCTGGCATAGCGGAATTACAGGTGCATGCCACCACACCCGTCTTTTTTCTTCATACTATCCCAAACTAAAACATTACTTTTTTTTTTTTTTTGGTACCGGGGATCAAACTTGGGTCCTTGCGCTTGTGCAGCAGGCAGCAAAACCACTGAGTTAAATCCCCAGCCCTAAAACATTACTTTTATAGTAAAAAGAAAGGAATGTAAAAGAAACACATTTTTCCTAATTTGAAAAAATCATCAAAGTGAGTCATCCATGACATTCTCTAACAGCAACTTCTATATATAGAAATACCTTTGGAAGATTGTACACATGACGCTGGTAGATGAGCTCATAATGTGGGGGGTTGATAGCACTCTGATAAATGCAAAAAACATTCTCATTTGTAACATCTGTAAAGAAGATATTTTATATTAAAAAATGGAACTGCTGGAGAGATTTCATGTGAAAAACTCAACATGATCTTTCAGAAGAGGTTTATACCTGGCTTATTTGGTGTCTGCACAAAATGCTGAGACGTAAATGTTTTTCCATCAGGGTACTTAGGGTGTGGAGGTAATCTGGAATCCAGGTAAGTGCAAAATACATGCATGATGATCTGAAGGTGAGGAAACAGTTGTGCAAAGTTAGCAGGAATCTAGCATGGGTGCAACCCTTTAAACATCTATAAAGATTTCAGGCCAGGGATTTAGCTCAGTGGTTCTGCCACCTGCCTCGCAAGCACAAGGACCTGAGTTCTATCACCAGTAACAACAACAACAAAAAAAAGCAACTATAAAGATTCTAATTTTAACATTTTTTCTTAAAGAGGGAATTAATAAAAATCCTTTCAAGAGGTTAAGATAAAATCTATGGAATGAAAGATAAAATCACATAATTCAGGGGCTGGAGAAGTTGGCTCAGTGGTAGAGTGACTGCATTGCAAGGCCTGGGTTTAATCTCCAGTACTGGGGGAAGGGGGGGCACATAATGCAGATAACATGCCTATTCTTTTCATCAAAATTATTATTTTCTCTCTCTCTCTTTTTTTTTTTTTGGTACCGGAGATCAAACTCAGGACCTTGCACTTACAAGGCAGGTACGGTGCCACTGAGCTAAATCGCCAGCCCAAAATTATTATTTTCAATAAGGTATTCACAAATATAATCTTTTCCTTTCAAATCATAAGGAATTCAGTGTGTTTAACAGGTGAGGCTAGGCCTACTTCACATAATTAACTCAAAATTTGAACTGAAAAATTTATTTGCCATCAAAATAACCTACCTGGCCACCCTCCTGCCTGCCCACCCAACCATCTGTCCATCTGTCCATCCATCCATCTTTTTTTGCTTACTGGGGATTGAATCCATGACTTGCACATACTAAGCAAGCGCTTTATTATATAGCTATATCTTCGGACCTTTTATTTTTTAATTGCCAAGGCTGGCCTCAAATTTGTGATCCTCCTGCCTCAGCCTTGCAAGCAGCAGAGACAAAGGGCATGCACCACCACACCTGCTAAATCAGTCTGTATTTTGATGGGAAAGTTTACTTTTCTACATGCAGAAAGAAAAATGCAATATGCCAGCCTACAAAATAACCAATTATCTGTGTGTGGGAGAAGGGGATCCGTGGGGTGGGGCAGTTTAAACACCAAACTTCTATTCCCTAAATATTTTATCTTCATTTTTGGTTTTTATAGCAACCCTAGAAGAGCAGGTTTCTGTTTTCTGGTAAGGGGATCATTCATGCCACCCATACAGCTAATTAACAGCAAAATCAAGATAAAATGCACATATCCAATTCTCAGTTTGAATGTCAACATTTAAAACTTGGGGCTGGGGATTTAGCTCAGTGGTTTGGCCACCTGCTGTGCAAGCGCAAGGACCTGAGTTCAATCACTGGTACCAAAAGAAAAAAAAAAAAAAAAAAAAAAGAAAACCATTTAAAACTTAATTATAGGGCCAGGGATTTAGCTCTGTGGTTTTTGCTGTCTCTTGCACAAGCGCAAGGACCCGAGTTCGATCCCCAGTACCCCCCCCAAAAACCATCTTAATTATAGTTACTATATAGGATATTAAAAAATCCACATTTAAAAATCATCTTTTCTTTACACCAATAATGGACTAGCAAAAACAGAAATTAAGAAAACAATTCCATTTGCAAGAGCTTAAAGAAATACATACCTATATGTGTGTTAACTTTACCAAGGAGGTCAAAGATGTCTACAAAGAAAATTGTAGAATAAGCTGGGTGTGGTGGTGGACATCTATAATCCCAGCACTCAGGAGAGGCTGAGGTGGGAAGATTACTGTGGGCTCCAGGCCAGCCTAAACTACAAAGTGAGACCCTGTCTCAAAAATACGAAAGAGAGAGAGAGGGGAAGGAAGGAAGGAAGGAGAAAAAAGAAAATTATAGAACACTAAAGAAAAATTGAAGACTTAGAAGATAGAGCTGGGATTTAGTTCAGTGGCTCCGCCGACTGCCTCACAAGCACAAGGCCCCGAGTTCAATCCCCGGTACCAAAAAAAAGGCATAAAGAGAAGAGAGAAAGACCGCCTATGTGCATAGATTTGCAGAATTAATATTAAAATGGCCATATTACCAAAAGCAATCTAAAGTTTTGATGCATTATCAATTAAAATTCCAAGACATGCGTCATAAAACTAGAAAAAAAAATCTTAAGATTCATACAAAAGCACAAAAGACCTGGAACAGCCAAAGCAATCCTAAGCAAGAAAAGCAAGGCTGGAGACATCACAATTTTGAAAAACTTAAATGTACAAAAACTCTTATGTTCTTTTATTTGGTAAATCTGACACTAGAATTTTTTTTTAAAAGAGATAATCCCAAATAAGAAAGAAATATACATTGTGATATTCCTTGCCATATTATTTAGGATAGAAAAATAAAAACCCCTTCCCCTTTCAAGTTTCCCAATCTTTAAGTCTAATATAGAACAGTTATGTGACAGTATGTAATAAAGAAAATAATACTGAAGAATTGCAAAAGTGAAAAAAAAGGGGGGCAGAATACATAATTTTACAGACAGGATGATTACAATTGTGATAAAAGCATTGAAAAGTAGCTTCATCGGGCCGGGGATTTGGCTCAGTGGTTCCGCTGCCTGCTGCGCAAGCGCAAGGACCCGAGTTCGATCCCCAGTACCAAAAAAAAAAAAGTAGCTTCATCTATGCAAAGGGAAAAACTACACACAAATATTAGCTAGCAGTGGTTGGGTTAAGATGTTGGTACTGTACTACCATGACTCACTATTTATATCTTGGTTTGAAATTATTTTTCATACTTATTTTTATAATGGAAAAATTAAAACACATGACTCTAACAGCAATAATAATAACCTAAAAAAATACACATAGGGACTTACAGCAGAATCGGTGGCCAGGTCAGTATCCCACTTCCGTCCTTTGAAGTCTCCACCTCTGTTCCATCGAAATGAGCTCATGCACCCTCCCTGAGAAAGTTCTGTGCAACAAAAGTAAAATTTAAAAAGCTAAAGATCTGTAAAAGAAGAAAGGATAAGGAATTCCAATAAAGGAAAGCACATCATCTTAAAAACCTGGTCAAAATACCCAAAATAAAGAAAAACAAAATATAAAGATCAAGTTAAATACCATTATGAAGAATCATATAAAGCCAGAAGTGGGACAAATCTATCATTATGGATTTTCAAAAAGTCACTGGATTGGGAAATCTGAGTAGGGATTATCTATTCAATAGTATTACAGAGCTGCTAAGTTTTAAGGGACGGTAACTGGATTACAGTAATATACAAGCACGTTCTTCCCTTTCAGATAAAATGCATACCGAAAAGCAATGTTTCCAAAGCATGTTCAAACAGCACAGCAAAGAGGCATGTGCACACACACAGGGACAGTCAGATATGGTGGTATGATGTTCACTGTATTAACTTTTTGTCTATCTGATATATGATAATTATATTTTAAAAATTGTGTGTATAAATACATTTTTTTTGGATGAGCAAAACCTTGCTACAGGCAATCTTGCCAAAATATCTGAACCTATTCTTACATAAGACAGAAGGGTGTGTAAAACTACACAGTGGATACACTTAGCAAAACCCAGACTGTGGGAAACTATGGGACAAACAATCTGATTTCTCTGACAAATATATTGCAAAGGTGGGGGGAGGGGTGGCCAGGAAGCCTATGCTTAAACTTAATATACATCAACTTATTTGAATCCCAATTTAAGCAATGCCAACAACAGTGGTAACATTTTATGAGAAGGTTGGCTGTTTTAACACAGACTGGGTATTTCATGAAACAAAGCATTTAAAATATTAGGGGTAAATGAGGCATGGTGGTGCATATCTATAATCCTAGCAACTTGGGAGGCTGAGGCAGGAGGATCACAAGTTTAAGGTCAGGTTGGGCAATTTGGCAAGACCCTGTCTCAAAACTTAAAAAAAAAAAAAAAAAAAAGAAGAGTTGGGGATGTATGTAGTTTGGCATTCACTCCCTGGGTTCAAAACCTAGCACTTGCGGTGGGAGAGCACGTGAAGCTATATGGTGGTATTTTTAAAGGCTTTATCTTTTTTTAAACTTTTAAATCAATCAATCTATCTAATCTATTGATCGATTGATTGATTGATCCAGGCTCTTGTGTAGTTCAGTTTGGCCTTAAACTCACTATGTATCCCTGGTGGGCCTTGCACTCTTGGGTGATCTTCCTGCCTCACCCTCCCAAGTGCTGGGATTACAGGTGAGTGCCACTATGCCTAGCCTGAAATACTATTTTTAAAACCTGTTTTAGGGATGAGATCATTTTACAAAGTTTACCCAAATTAAAAAGAATTTTAATGTTATGAACTGTTCTCTAAGTACAGAGACATGAAGAGTGAACAAGAGTCACAGAGGCTGAACTTCCTGATTCCAAGTCAATCTCTTCAGATGACTACATTTCTCCCACACCATAAGAATATACGGGAATATAAGGAAGCTACATACTAAATAGGAATTACAAATATTAAAAGAAATAAAGAGCAGCATGCTGATATAAGAATGTCATAGTGGTACCCATTCTTGGTGGTCTGAAAGTCAAAATGAGTAAAAATATTCACTTGAGTCTATATAACTCATATTTAAGTTCTAACACAGAATTAAATTATTAATTTAACATATTCTGGGGTGTTATTCTGACAATTCTTAGCATGTAAAATAGATGATCCAAAAGTTGCTCAAGTATAAGCCTTCAATAAAACATAATTAAATATACATTTATAAAATATGACCATAGTTATATTTTCCCCCTGAACTGGGCCTTTGCACTTGAGCTACATCCCCAGCCTTTTTTATTTTTCAAACAGGGTCTTAGTAAGTTGCTAAGATGCCCAAACTGGGCTTCCAACTTGCAATCCACCTGCCTCAGCCTCTGAGAGTGCTGGGATTACAGGCATGCGCCACCATGTGTGGCCCACAGTTGTACTTTTAAAGTTTTCAGAAGTTTTTTTCTCTTGTTAGCTTTCATTTATAAAATCCAAATGTCATGAAAACATTCTCACATTCTTCTCACATTGATTCCTCAAATCAGTAGTTACCTTTGATCCTTTCAAACAAATACTCCTGATTCGGTGTGAGGTCTAGATAGTTACCTTTGATCCTTTCAAACAAATACTCCTGATTCGGTGTGAGGTCTAGATACTGCACAATTGCATTCAAAGTCGGAATGAGAGGGGCTTTGACCAGGGCAGCTTGTTTCAAGCTAGTAATACTAGCGTCTGTTCAAAACAAAACAAAAAACAGAACACAGATGATTCTTCATGAGGGTCTCGGAGAGAATTTAACATGCTCTTTCTCTTGTGTTCAAACAGCGGGCTTCTCCCTGGCTTCAGTCCTTACACGAGCCAGTGATCTTCCCAGACAAACTCAGATTTCAACCTTCTTCTGGAAACATTAGTAACAACACTCTCCCACGTTGTTGTTCTTCCTCAGCATTAACTGCTGTATCTTTACTATCTGTCTCATTATCAGATTAAAAACGGCAATGAGGGCATGGATAGGTGTCATTTTTTCTCACTGCTGTACTCCCGATGCCTAGAGTACCTAGTACACAGTAGGTACTCAATAGATGTTGAAGGAATAAATGAAAGCAATAATAGTTTACCTTAATTTGCATTATTACTACTTTACCTACAATTTATCACACCAACTAAAATGACTACATGAGACACACAGTTGCTGGGGAGGATGTGGAGAACCTGGAACCCTCACACCCTGCTAGTGGGAATATAAAGTGGTATAGTTGCTTTAGAACAGTCTGGCAGTGCTTCAAAAGGTTACACACAGAGTTACCATATGACCCAGCAACTTCAATCCTAGTTATGTACCCAAGAGAAATTAAAATGTTAGTCTGCATAAACACTTGTACAAGAGTGTTCATAGCAGCATTATTCATTGTAGTCAAAAAGTGGAAATAAGCCAAATGGTAGTTAATTCATGAACGGATAAACAAATATGGAAGCATGTTTAAATATTGCATTGTTTCTCTGGTGTGAGAAACCGGAAGTGGAAAGAAGGACTGAAATGTATAATGGATGTTGGGAAATGGAAAGAAAGTGTTCAAATGGGAAGGGGAACAAGGGAGAAGGGAGGGAGAAAGGGCCAAGAAAAAAAGTGAAAATAGAAGGAAAAAATGGAAACAAAGCTTTTGTACATAGGGAGGGGAAGATGCTTAAGGAGGGGGAATGGGATAAAATAAAATAAAATTTATTTAAAAAAAATAAAGAGCTGATTTTGACTCACTGAGACCCTTAGGATGTAATGTAAGCTTCATCATGAAAAAAAAAACTGTGGAAGAAACATTTTGAAAATTTGGACACAAAAAGAAATGAGTAGGTGGGCATGGTGGTGCATGCCTATAATCCCAGCACTTGGGAGGCTGAGGCAGGAGGATTGGTTTGAGTTCAAGGCCAGCCTGGACTACATAACAATATGCTGTCTTGCGAAACAACAAAAAGAAACAAAGTACTGTGAAAAATCTACCACAAGGATGAACCTTAAAAACATTATGTTAAATGAAAGAAGCCAGTTACAAAGGACTACAAAAACATTTATATGAAATACCCAAAACAGGCCCATATACAGAAACAGAAAACACACAGGTATGTGCACAGGGATGGAGGGAAGGTATGGAAGAGAGATGGACATGATACAGGGCATGGAGCTTTTTTTCAGTGATAAAGTGTTCTAAAATTATGATGGGTGCATAACCCAAACCTTTGAATTGAACACTTTAAAAGAGTAAGTGAAATAGTAAATTATATCTCAATAAAGCTGTGACATTAAAAACCCACTATTATGGACATTTAGATCTGCTCCCCTCACCTAGCGGTAACAAAGGAAGTTGTTAAATAGCCCATTACAAAAGGATATTTTCTATTTGGCTGGTTTATTAAAAGTAAATCAGGGCTAAGGATGTAGCTAAGCAGCGCTGTGCCTGTCTGGCAAGTGCAAGGTCCTGAGTTTGATCCCCGGTACTGGAAAAAAAAAAGTAAATCACATGCTAGGCTCTAGCTCACATACCTCCTATTTGTAGCTCTGGACAACCCATTCGTCTCATCTGGGTGCTGACAGACTCAATCTCTTGTACAAGTGGCACTAATATTGTCTCATTGATCCACTAGGAAGAAATGAGGTATAGATTTTGTATACGTAATTCCAAAGTATTTCTCAAATAATTTTCATTCTAGAAGAAACTCTAAGAACTTTTTTGGTCTTGTATTTGAATGTTAACAGAACTGTAAAGTATAGTGAAAGAGAATGGAAGTAGCAGCTAACTGAAGGCTCCAGAGAATTAAATAAATATGCTATTGGAATAATGTTTTGTTTTGGGTACTGAGGATTGAGCCCTGGGCCTTCACAGAGCTACACACCCTGGTCTGCCCTTTTTTGGAAACAGGATCTAGGTCACTAAGTGGCCCAAGTGGGGCTCTACCTTGTGATCCTCATGCCTCTGTCTCCCAGAGTGCTGGGATTATAGGCATGTGCCACTTAACCTGACTGGAGGTAATGAACTAAATTATGTTCTCAATCATATGTATCCTTCCTTCTAAAGAAAATAACTTCCTAAATGTTGAATTAAAAATTTTTTTCCTTCAATGATTATTCTCCTTAGCAAAAAGGATAATCTTCAGTTTACATTTCAAGAGTACTATAATTTTAAATTTATTGGAGTAGAGTTTATACTGGTTTATAATCAATAAGACAGTTTTTCAAACACAACTGATTAACTCACAACAGGCTCCTCCACTTGCTAAACATGTGGAAAAGCAGATAACGGAATCAGTTTGTGAATATTACAATACAGTACTACTTTAAGACTGGGAGTCAGGCATAGTGGCACACGCCAGTAATAAAGTAGTCTGGGGAGGCTGAGGTGGAAGATCACAAGTTCAAGCCTAGCCAGCATATTTTAGCAAGATCCTGTCCCAAAATAAAAAATAAAAAAAGGGCAGGGGACATAAAGGAATGTTCAATCACCAGCACTGGGGGTGGTGGTGGTGGTGGTGGGGGAGCAGCAGACTAGGAATTTCAAATGCCATGTTCTACAGTATCAGACTAATCTTGGATGTGAAAAAGACCATCCAAATAAAGTCTGTTCAGTATGTTTGTGTATTACTGTTTTTTGTGTGTTTATGTAGCAACTTCAACCAACACTTTTATTTTCATGCTGTTAACCATAAAAGGGAAATGAGAAAATGTTTCTGATGAAGTCCACAATTCCTTATGAACAAGTTTCAATTCAGACGAGATCAGGCGTGTTCAGGGTGGTATGGCCGTAGACACAAGTTTCAATTCAGAACCTCTGAAAACTAAAAGTTTCTTTGTAATGCATACACCAAGCAAAATTCAATATAGTAAAAGACTCAAACTAAATTCACATGAAGCTTTTTTTTTTTTGGTACCAGGGATCAAACTTGGGACTTTGTGCTGGTGAGGTAGGCAGCAGAACCATTGAGCTAAATCCCCGGCCCCACATGAAGCTTTTTATAGATTTTATTTCATTTATTTGACTATCCATATTCTTTGCTGCAGAAATATTAATGTGGTTGATTACTAGGTGCTGAAAACTATGATCTATGCATAATGCTTTAAAAAACCCCAAAGATCTCTCAACTTCAGAACACAGTAGCCTAAGAAATTCAGATGAAAAAAAAAAAAATTCAGATGAAGAACCATGTTTTTAAGTAGCTAGTATCTTGATAAAACTTTATATTTTTAAATTTTTAGCATTTTTAGACCAGTATATAATAGAAAAGACAACAGCAAATAGTTGCTGGTCATCATCTCCCTCATTCTTCTAACATTTATTACACGCAACCTACTTGCCAGCTACACTTTGGCTGCAACAAAATCATCTAAGCTGTCCAGGAAAGAGATCTAGGCCTCACTCCCAGAAATCTGAGTAGTTCTGGAACTGGCTCAGAAATTTTTATATGCTTCCTGTTATTTTTTGTAGTACTGGGGATTGAACGCAGGGGCCTGTACATGTTAGACAAGTGCTCTAGCGTGGAGTTGTATTCCACCCTGCCTCACTAAGTTGTCAGGTTGGCCTCAAACTTGTGATCCTTCTACTTTAGCCTCTTGAGTAGGTGGGATTTCAGCCATATGCCAAAGTGCCTGGCCTATTGTAATTTTTCTCTATTTCAGTTTAGTTTTTGGCTTATTATAATTTTAAACAAAAGTGATAGATTCTTTTTTGTTTTTTGAGACAGGGTTTTGCTATGCAGTTTAGGCTGGCCTTGAACTCATGGCAATCCTCCGGCCTCAGCCTCCTAAATGCTGGGATTACAGGCATGAGCCACCACACCCAGCTTAATTTTTTAAAACCTTTTATCTATTTACATTTTTTGAGGTGGGGCCTCACAACATTGCCCAGGATGGTCTTGAACTCTTGGGCTTAGGAATCCTGCTCCAGCCTCTGGAGTAGCTAGAACCACAGGTGAAAATTTCATTGTTAAAATGCTGTCCTGGGGCCGGGGATTTAGCTCAGTGGTTTCGCTGCCTGCCTCACAAGCTCAAGGACCTGAGTTCGATCCTCGGTACCAAAAAAAAAAAAAATAAATAAATAAAATAAAATGCTGTCCTGGTTTCTACCACTTTATAACCTTCCCTGATACTTTATTTAAATTAGCATAAGTGATTTCAATATAGTTCTAGAAGATGCAGAATGGATGATGAATGCTGAAGGGTGAAGCAGTGGCAGCCTCTACAGAGGGAAGTGCCGCTAATCTGCCTACAGAGCCCTGGGACACACAGGTGCTACAGACAATAGGAGGATGCCAGGTGGTGAAAACCCAGAAACCCACAGTTGAATGTGGAAGAGCTGAATTCCAGGTCAAACAGAAGGCTCTTCCCTAGAGAAACTGAAAGTATATATATTCTGAAGTAGCTTCAAGTTATACAGTATCACCTTTTTTCTGTTTAGTTTTCAGAGGGCACAGATCCCCTTTTTGTTTCCTTCACAATTCTAGGTACACAACAGACAATGATAGAAAAGCTTTTTGGAAAGAAAACTGAAAAACTGGGAAAGGGAAGAAGGCCTCTTCACTGTGCTGTACACCTTAGTGCCTTTCCCTGAGGGGGATCTTCCTGTCCCTGTCCCTGTCCCTACTCTGAGCTCCTAGGCATTCACACTGAGGTGCTGCCCTCTTCACGGATGAGGGCAGAGGAAAGAGAACCTTCGGTCTGTATGAGGACTTTGGGGAATAATTTCTCTATCCACTATGGAAGAAAGCAGCACAAAGGGTGGGGGCAGGGAGTTTCAAGGAACCAGCTGGAGGGAAGGCCAAGTTTAATTATGCTCTTGATCTTAATCCTCACATCACTCAACACTATTCTTGAAGGAGCCAAGGGCGGACAAACACACACGCAGGAACTTACATTTCTAAACTTAGCTGTCCATGAATCCATATGATCAAGAAGTTGTCTATTCATTGTCACTCTTGCCCAAACCTATTAAAAATGTTTAAGATGAATAATCAATGAGGAAAAGTCTTGCCAGAAATCATCATTCTTTCCTGCACTCAAAAATATTTGATGAATTTTGAAAACAATCTTCAGAAATATCAATATTCATGTAATTAATATTCAGTAATTTTCTCTATTACCTATTAATGAGCTGTTCATACACAAATATTTCACTTGGTTTTAATAAAATAAAAATCCCATATTTGGTACTAAAATGATAAAGTTACAGATTGCCAAATGTTTTAATCCAAATGTTTAAAAACCAAGAGCCTGGTATATGCTAAATACAATTAGATATCCGAGAGCCTTTCTGTAATGAATGCAGAAAAATATTTTAGGCAGGACATTTATGTCACCTATGTGTCACACAGTAAAATGTATGATATAATTTAGTGTTAGGAACACAAGACAGAAGGCTTTCCACTGTTTAATGAGTGCCAGATTTATATTTCTGTCCAGTAAAAGTGGAGATAAAAGAAAAATTGTTCTAGAAGACTCTCTAGCAATCTGAAAAATTATAAATATTAAGTCATTTTTATTTTTCATTTACCTCTTCTGCAGCTTGCTTAGAACTGAGATCAGCCTCATCTTTGTTAGCAGAGGGGGCTTGAGACCGACAGGCAAGCTGATACTGAAACTTCTTTAAAGTCTGTGCATAATCTCCCATAGAACGATTGTAGTTCCAAAAAGTAGGGCTATTGGAAGGAGAGGTAGAATCTGGGCTTCCTAAAATGATGAAAGAGTTCAGTCAGTTGTGGTAACTTTCCCATCTAGTGTTAACCCATGAACAATGGGTGTGTAGATTCCCAGGCAATGGCAATCAAGGCATCAGAAGACACCCCCTCCCCATCTTCTTTAGAGAGCATGGATTCCTTCTGTTAAAAATTAAAAGGGCTCAGTACTGAAAAAAAAAAGAAAAAAAAAAATTAAAAGAATAGGGCTGGGGATTTAGCTCAGTGGTTCCATTGCCTGCCTCGCAAGTGCAAGATCCCGAGTTTGATCTCTGGCAACAAAAAAATAAATAAAAATTAAAAGAATATTTTCTGAGCAGTATCAACTGAAGAAACATAAGAATCACTAGTGGTTGAAAGTGTGTTTATTTCTGTTGTGATATTAAACTTGTTTCAGCTGGGTATGGTGATACATGCCTGTCATCGCAGTTCCTTGAGGATGAGGCAGGAGGATCACAAGTTTGAGGTCAGCCCAGGAAAAAGAGAAAAGTAAAAAGGACTGTGGATATGGCTCAGTGGTAGAGTGCTTGCTTAGCATGTGTGGGGCCGTGAGTTCAGTTCCCAGCACCACAACACATACACACAAACACATGTTTGTTTCAATAGTTTCCTAAAACTTTGACTTGTTAGAAGGGCCTTCGGCTTTTTTTTTTTTTTGGTACGGGGATTGAACTCGGGACCTGTGCTTGCGAGGGCAGTGCCAGAACCACTGAGCTAAATCCCCAGCCCAAGAAGGGCCTTCTGAATGGAGTGACTATAGCTTCCTATTAATAAACTGTTCTATGGGCTATGTCCCTGCACTGATTATGTTTTATTTGTTAATCTGTAGTATTTCTTTATGGACTAAATGACTCCGTGAGCCAGGTGTTGTGGTGTGCACCTGTAATCTCACCACTCTGGGAGGCTAAGGCAGGAAGATCACGAGTTCAAGCCAAGCCTGAGTAACTTAGCAACTGAGAGCTCAAAATAATGAAAATGAAAAAAAAAAAAGGGCTGGGAATTTAGCTCAGTTAGAATGTCCTAGGTTCAATCCCCAGTACCAAAAAAGTAAAAACAAAACAAAACAGACTACCTAACTACCTATCAATTATAATTATAAATTTACTTTTAGGAAATGTAAAAAACTGACATTCTGGAACTTCCTCCTATAGAGGCCTCTTGCCAGAGTACTTATCACACTTGAGGGTTGCAGTTTTGGTCTGCTTTCCCAAAGAGAATCTGAGCTCCCTCAGGGCATGGAGTATTTTTTCTCCTAGTACAGGGCCTGAATAAATAAGTTTTCAATGACAATTACAATTGGGCTTATTTTTCCAGGGTTTAACAGACATCAGAAATATCAACTGATACTTTATATCCACAATAAAAATCACAAATAGGAAATAAGTTTTTTTGTTTTTTGTTTTTTAACCTTAGCAAGAATTCTAAAAGAAGTGACTATAATAAAATTTGCTTTCTTGTGATGTTCATAGCCATAAAGGATGAGAAATCATGAGAGGGATTATGGGAGAACATTTCAATTCACCAAAACCTTGAAGGTTACCAATCTTGTCCTTGGGTATGTTTCATGAAGGCAAAAAATACAGTTATTTACAATAAAGAAACGTCACACATCATGTGAAGCTAAATTTCCAAGTAGGACTTCTGATAAAATTGACTTCTAGGACTGAATTAATGTCAAGAAAAGAGGTTGTAAACCAACTCAAATGATTTAATACACAGACAACAAAATCAGAAAGAAACATGGTCATGATAAAGCACAGGTTTTTTATTTTGATTAATCATTTTGACTATTAAGTTAAAGATAATTAATCTTTCTGTGAAAGAAACTTTAAGAAAAATTTCAGTAAAGATTGAGATACATAATGAATAGACGCAGGAAGTTCAACACTGGTTGTGCATTAGCCTAAGTAAATACTGTACATCTAGCAAGCAGCCACAAAATAGGGGCTTTCTACAATGATTACCACCACCACCACCACCACCACCACTACCACCTCTAAGACAGCAAAGAGCCTCAAACTCATAAGAACCAAAGCACAAAGAGGTTTGGAAATCTGGCAATGGAGCAAACCAGATAATGTAAAACACCTACAAAGAATATCTAAAAATGTTTATTAAGTAAAACACATTATTTAAATGAATGAATGAGGGATCTTGAAAAAAAAAAAAAAAGCAAGGTATGAAAAGCCAGTGGCTAAAAATGAAGAGGGAACTGAAAATCAGAAGGAATATTAATTAGTGAGTTGACAGGGTGGCTGCTCTAGACGACTGTGTTGGCCTTGAGAAATCTACCGGCTTGTCTTACAATGCTCAAGAGGAAACTAGAGATGAGGATTTGGGCCAGAAAGAGGTAGAGAGCTGAACTGAGACATTTATCCTAATTGTATTATTCCCAGTGTTCAGCACAGGGCCATATCACAAAGGGCCATATCCTCAATGGGTAAGAAAAAAGTACCTGTCACTGGTACCAAGGGATAAAAGAAGCTTATCTGTTTTAAATTGTTGAGATTTTAAAAAACATCCCTGAGCCAAGGATTTAGTTCAGTAGTTCTGGCGCCTGCCTCACAAGCGCAAGGTCCCGAGTTTGATCCCCAGTACCAAAAAATAAAAATAAATAAATAAAAACATCCCTGAAGGGGGGGCTGGATGTAGCTCAGTGGCATCGTGCCTGCCTGGGAAGCACAAGGTCCTGAGTTCGATCCTCAGTACTGGGAATAAATAAATAAATAAATAAATAAAATAAAAACATCCCTGAGATTTTATTTTATATATTTTCTTTCTCCTGAGATTGTTTTTTGAGACACGGTCTTGCCATGTAGTTCAGGCTTCCAGCACAGGCTGGCCTCAAACTTGCAACAATCCTCCTGCCTCGGCTTCCCCCTTCAGCCTCCCAAGTGCTGGGATTACAAGTGTGTGCCAGTATAACTGACCAGATACTCATTTCTTTTCTTTTCTTTTTTTTTTGGTACCAGGGATCGAACTCAGGACCTTGTATTTGCAAGGCAGGCGGCGGAACCACTGAGCTAAATCCCCGGGCCTAAGATATTAATTTCTAAATAGCATCTCCACCAAAAGGAACAGGATGGACATAGATACACTGGCCAGTCTACGGGCATACCATCCTGAATGTGCCCGATCTTGTCTGATCTCAGAAGCTAGGTAGACTTGGGCCTGGTTAGTGGTTGGATGGGAGATATACTGGCCAAAAGACATTAGTATAGCAGTATTATGTTAATGTCAGACAAAACAGACTTGAAGCAAAAAGAGATAAAAGATAATTTACCAGAATGATATAACTATTCTGAATTTATATGCACCTAAAATCTTACATGTATTTAGCAATTTGATAGACTTATGAGGAAATATTTAATAAAAGACCATCAATGGGGTGTGGTAAAGCACACCTATAATCCCAGCACTGGGGAGGCTGAGATGGGAGGATCTCTGTGAGTTTGAGGCAGCCTGTATTACACAGACCATTTCTCAAGAACAAAACAAACAAAAAAACACAGACAATCAGGTGCTTTTGATAAACTTTCTTAATAAATGGTAGATCAAGCAGATAAAAATTAGAAAGATAAAGAATTTAAATGTCAGTTGTTAGTAATCAAGAATCTTAAGTCAATGAACAAATACAAAGACCAAAACTTAAGATACTATGCATTCTTTCCAATATACCAAAAATCACTTTCAAAAAAGAGACCAGAGTAAACCTTAAAGCAATTTCAAACAGCTAACCAACCAACCAACCAACCAACCAACCGCTTGCTGTGTTCTACAAAAAGAAAGAGGAGAGAAAACCATTTACAGATCAGAATCTCTAAGCACAGTACAATTAACTTTGGGGGAAATAAAGCTAACTAGGCCGCTATAGCCTTGAAAATTAAAAGCAACACCAAAAACACTTCCAAACAGTGATACATCTAAATAACTTCTATGGGTCAAAGAAAAATATGTCTGAAAATCACAAAGATGTATAGAGATCATTGTCTTATACTCTAATTTTCAGTAGGCTTGAAATATTTCAAAATTTTAAAATGAAAAAATGTATATAAAATAACAAGATAATATTGATTTGTTTCTTTGACATCTGTGGCACTTTCAGGCAGAATTAAATTAAAAATCCCTAGAGAGTTCAAGCAACACAAAGAGCCATGGTCCAATAACTTGGCTTTCTCAACACGGCCAAGCTTTAGCACCTAAAGTGTTTTCTATGAAAATTCCTGAGGGGAAAAAATCATTACTTGGTTCAATAACCTAATTTGGTTTCAAATAATTGACTTCGTAATAATCAGATCCACCAACAGATTACAATTTGCTAACATTGTTTCCTATGGTAAACTATGGGCTTAAAGAAAATACTAAAGGCAAATTAAAAAATGTTCTGAAAAAGAGCAGCACTTTCAGGGTAAATACTGCTTTCTCCTCACCCTATCCTGCACACCAGCCTCCCAAAAGACCATCTAAAAAGACAGCTATCATCTGAATGAGATTTGCTATGTGCCACTTCAAAAGCATTTTACAGCCTCAACTTGAAACAGTAATTATAACTTCTTTTATATGAAAAAGCTTTTAATCTTACTGTGGATGAAGGGGTGAAGATTTTTCAGTTCAGCCATATTTTACTTCTTAGATTTGATAGTCAATTCTAACCGCTAAAATTATTAAAGTAATACAAAATGTGTTTGTCTCCTAAGGTATACTGGTAGAAGGGACATACAAATTTATGCACAGGTATCAATATGATCAAAATGACAGGTTAAGAATTATGTCAAATCGGGCTGGGGATTTAGCTCAGTGGTTCCACTGCCTGCTTTGCAAGCATAAGGTCCTGAGTTCGATCCCCAATACCAAAAAAAAGGAAACAAAAAAAGAATTATGTCAAATGGATTAGATATAAATAAAATGTGTACCCAGATTAACTCTGTGCTGTTTCTCTTCCTCACTTCGGAGAAAAGTGTCCAGAGTGCGCAGGTCTGTCATGTAGTCCTCCTTATCAGTAGGTGAGTTATAGACGGTGGGTGAAGAACGGTAGCGGGATCTCAACCCACTGCTCTCCACTGGGCCAACGGTGGTAGTGTACGGAGAAGGAGGAGAGGAGCTAAAGCTTGCCAACTACACAAGACAAGAGAACTTGATTTTAGTTTTCTTTAATTGAATTTTATTTTTGATTTTTTGAATTTTAAAAATCAACAACCTACTATAATGGTCAAATCTAAGAAAACCTACAACACCAAATGCCGGTGAGGCTGCAGAACAATGGGAACTGTCATTCATTCCTGGTGGAAATGAATAATGGTACTGCTATTTTGTAACAGTCGGATGGTTCCTTACAAAGTGAAACCTCTCACCATACCATCTAGCAATTGTGCTTTGTTATTTACCCAAAGGGTGCTGAAAACACAAAAACTTGGACATGGATGTTTTAATAGCTTTATTCCTAATTTCTAAAACTTGAAACCACGATGTCCTTCAGAAGATAACTGGATTAAAAAAAAAACCTGATACATTCAGACAATGGAGTATTATTCAGTGCTAAAAAGAAACAAGCTATCAAGCTATGAAAAGACGTGGAGGAACCTTAAATGCATATCGCTCAGTGGAAGAACCCAATGTGAAAGGCTACACATGTATGACTCCCAAGTATATATTATGAATGAGGCAAAAATATGGAGGAATTAAAAAAAATCAGTTGTCTGCAAGGAATCTGGAGGGGAAAAAAAGGGATGAATAAATGAAGCACAGGGGATTTTTTTCCAATGGTGTGATGGTGGATATATGTTATTATACATCTGTTCAGGCTCACAGACTGCACAGACCCAGAGTGAACTCCAATGTAAATTTGGACTTTGGGTGTAATAATGCGTCAATGCAGGTTCATCAATTATAATAAATGTACCACTCTGATGGGATATATTGATAATGGAGGAGGCTGTATATGTGTGGATCAGGGGATTATGGGAAATCTCTGTATTTTCTTCTAAATTTTGATTTATAATAGTATCTTTTAACCCAAGAAAACGTTCTCTCTTCACTTAGCATCTTTTGTACTTCTTAGGATTATTCATTCATTCAACCATTCACTGTATATAATTTCTAAAGCTCAATAAATACTCTCAGACATTTCTGTGATAATGTGAACTGGAAAAATTCTTTTGGGTAGTTACCTGTCTCCTCCAAATTATCAAAAACTATGTATTGAGCTATTCAGTGCGAATTAGCAACAGTTTTTTAAAAATAAAATACTCAAGAGTAAACTATGGTATCTTGAACAGATTTTAGGATGGTAGAACTTTGAATAGTTTTCCTTCTATTTTATTTTTCTAATTTTCTATAATGATCATAAAGTGCTTTTCTTATAAAAATATTATTTTAAAAAGTCATATTCACCTTTGGGTTAGTAATTATCACTGTATACACAAACTTTCTCATAACATTTAACTTACACAAACTTTTCTAAATTCATTTTTTTTTTTGTGGTAATGAAGATTGAACCTAGGGTCTTTGCAACTGAGCTACATCCCCAGCTCTTTTATTTTTTTGGTACCGGAGATCGAACTCAGAACCTTGTGTTTGCAAGGCAGGCGGCAGAACCACTGAGCTAAATCCCCAGGTCCCAGCTCTTTTATTTTTTATTTTGAGGCAAGGTCTTGCTAAATTGCCTAGGCAGGTCTTAATGCTGGAATTAACAGGCGAGCACCAGGTAAAGTTTTCTAAATTCTATTAAACCAATCCCTGTGTGGTGGTACACCCTCTAATCCCAGCTCTCTGGAGGCTGAGGCAGGAGGATCCCAGTGAGTTTGAGACCAGCCTGGACTGTATAGTGAGTTCAAGGCCAGTCTGAAGTACACGTTGAGACCTTGTCTCAAAAAAACAAACAAACAAAAAACTCCCCCAAAAAACCACCAAAAAGTTTAAATTCTATTACATGCGAAAATGGATAACCAGGAGCATGGAATTTCTTTACAAAGAGATATTATGCTTCAAAAGAAACTGGGGTGATGATGGTGCATGCCTGTAAACCCAACACTTGGGAGGCTGAGAGGACTGCTGTGAGTTTGAGGGCAGCCTGGACTACACAAGTGAGTTCAAGGCCAGCCTAAACTACATAGTGAGACCCTGTATCAAAAAACCAAAAAGAAAAAAAGGGTAAGAGGAGATGCACAATAATGAAAACATCTGAAATGATGCGACCTCATACTCTCTTAGAGTCTTATGCCTCAGGAAGAAGCCAAAACTTCAATCTATAAATTCTGCTTTAATAACCCTAAAAGTCAGAGCAAAACTCCATACTGGGCTGGGGATTTAGCTCAGTGGTTCTGCCTCCTGCCTTCCAAGGACAAGGTCCTGAGTTCAATCCCCAGTACCAAAAAAAAAAAAAACCCCTCAGGAAGGCAAAACTCCATACTTCCTTGGGATTTGAAAAGGTTTCTATTCATCAATGGAAAGGGTCCATAGTCTAGTGTCAAACTATATATATATGACAACCCAGGTTTTCCCTAGGCAGATAATCTCCAACATGATAAAAAGCATTGCAATTCTCTAAGAGTAAACACAGGTTTCACATCGAGTAGCAAAGAGGGAAAAACATGAGTAAAGGAAACTAGAGTAAAAAAATTATTTTAATGTTTTCAAAACTGCTGAAAGATTCTAGATGGTGAACCTCACATTTTATTATCTTAGCAAAAGCTAATGTTTCTTTCATTTTAAGATGCTATTTAAAGAACTTCTGACTAGGTGTCAGGAAATTTGGGGTTCTATTCTTGGCTCTTACCTGGGTGACTCAGGTAAGTTAATTACCCACTGTTACAGTTTCCTCATGAATAAAATGAAGTTTTTTTTTTTTTGGAAAGGGTCTCTCACTATGTAGTTCAGGCTAGCCTGAAACTCACAGTGATCCTCCTGTCTCAGCCTCCACAGTGCTGGAATTACAGATGTACACCACCATATGGCAATAAAATAAGTTCCAACTCACTTGATGATTTTCAGTGCACCTCTCAAGTCTAAATTAATGTGATTGGCTAAAAGAGTTGTTACCTTATTATAACCACCGACTGGTGAGTAGGTTACTCCAGGGCTGAAAGAACTACTGCCACCTGAGGACATGCTTTGCAGCTGAGGGCTGTATCCAGTCATACAGCTGGTGGTGAACTTGGGACTGGCACTTGGTGAGCGAGATGGACTGTAACTCAACACGCTCTGCCCCTGAATTGAAGGGGAAGGTGGAGAGGGAGGGATCTGGGTGGCTGTTAGATCAAGTGGAGGGGTAGTCTGTACAACTAGAAGGAAAAGAGAAAAGAAAATAACTATACACACACATATATGTTTAAATAAACTTCCATGCAAACAGATTTAAGGAACAGTCTTTTTTTGTTGTTTGTACTGGAAACTGAACCTAGGACCTTTGCACTGAGCTACATTCCGGGACTTTCTTTGAAACAGAGTCTGCTGAGTTGCCCACACTGGCTTGAACTTGCAATCCTCCTATCTCAGCCTCTCAAAGTGCTGGAATTACAGGCTTGTGCTGCCACACTCAGCTGGAACTGTTTTTTTTTCCCCTCAGGAAAAAAACAAAGTAACAGAAAGATTTGATTTTCAAATTAATATATTACTAAAGGACAATAATTAGTCATTTACCATTTCCACAGGGTTCAAAATAAGAAACTGGCTTCAATGCAGCAAGAGTTACTCATTTAATTTTAAGGAACCAATGGAATAAACTTCCATTAGTTTACTGAATGTTAAGTTTCATTCAGTTTATACCAATAAGAAAGATAATCACTGGTCTTAAAAAAATTTACTATCGATCTGTTTAATATAGTTGAACCAGTGTTAGAAATCCCTTCCAGACAAGAAAAAATGAAAATAGAAGGAAAAAATGGAAACAAAGCTTTTGTACATAGGGAGGGGAGGAACGGGATAAAATTAAAAAGAAATCCCTTCCAGCTCTGAGTCTATGAAAAGGGAAAACTAAATTAAAAACTATTTATTGCCAACCTTCTCCTTACCTTTGCAAGAGTTACAGTATATAAAACACTTACCAGTTGTTTTCAACCCTAAAAGTATTTGTTGTCCAGGGCTAACAACGAGACTTGTTGGTGCCATAGTATATTTGAAATATCTCCAAAAATCAAACAAGGCATTAAGGCTGAAGAGAGAGGCAAGGGCAAGCTCTGGAAGAGAACAAATTTTTTTTTTTTTGTACCGGGGATCGAACTCAGGACCTTGTGCTTTCGAGGCAGGCACTGGAACCATTGAGCTAAATCCCCGGCCCTAGAACAATTTATTTTTAAAAAGGTGGTGGTGAGGGGCATGTACTGGTGGTGAAACAAAAACTCTCCGTGCTTTAGAAAATTAACAAAATTGAAAACTACCTTCTTATTCCTCTTAACAGCTAACATTTAATAAATGTATATTAGGTGCAGGGCATTTACTAATAAGTTTCCAACTATCACTAACCCGTACCACCTTATTTTCAACTTCATTTTAATAATGAATCAACAGTCACGGAGAAGCCAAGTGATCTTTTTTTGGAACTGGGGATTGGGCACTGAGCTATAGTCCCAACCCCTACCCCCTTTTTTCAAAACAGGGCCTCATTAAATTGCTGAGTTGTCCAGGTGAGGGTCAAACTCGCAATGCACCTGACTTAGCCTCCCAGAGTGCTAAGTTTATAGATGTGCATCACATCTGGCTTTAAATGACTTTTTACAGGTATACAGCTAGGTAGTAAGACATGATTCTGACTCAGGTCTGCAGATTCCAAATCCCTACCACTTGCCACGCTAGTTCCCACAACAGAGTTTGCATTAATGTGTACAGACTATGAAATTCAACATCCTTAAGAACTTTTCATACCCAAGGATTATGGAAGAGCAGATGGAGAAGTGGAAGGAATGAGTACACTGAGGAAGGCACCCATGGAGTAGAAAACTGGGCTGGTTTTGAAAGGTGAAAACATGGAGAGAGTACTTCAGGAGAGTAACAAATATAAATCTTATTACCCTCATATGTTATTTTTCACAGAACTCATAATTATCTGTAATTATATTTTTAATTTGATTGTCTCCTCTACTAGAATGTTTCTTCCACAAGAGGGTTTCCATTTGTTTTCTTCCTACTGAACTCCCAGATTGGGAACATGGTTAGGTAATCAGGGTTTGTTGAATGTAGGGATGAATATTAAGCTGAATTAAACCTGCCAGCAAGTTTCTCTGTTGGTAATAAATCTAAATTTAAAAAAAAATCTAAATTTTAGTAAATTACTTACCAATATACCAAAGGGGCCAGTATGTCACATTATAATATGAACTAATCAATTTTCCAGTCCTGAAAAAACAAGAAAGGCTTTTCAATTAACTTAAATCAAAACAAAAAATTCTGGAACTAGCCACAGGCTACTTAGATTTTCCCTTTTTGGGCTGATGAACTTACATTTCAGTATATATCATTCCAGCCATGGATACATTTAAGAGGCCCCAGGCTAAAACCACTTTCCTAGCTTCTGTTTCTTTTCTCATCTTGATGGTTCTGTCAATAAGGGAATCATTAGGGCTTGCCTCGCCTTGCAACTATTCAAAAGTAAAAGCACAGGAATTAATCAAAAGAAACTACTCCACTTAAGAAAACGTGTTTCCTTTATAAAGAAAAACTGCATATACTTTCCCTCATCTTTAAACGTCCTATCAGGCCCGCCCCCCTTATTTAACAGTATGTGAAAAAGGAACCAAGTTACACTTCTCAGAGAACCAGCTAGTCATATTTCAGGCAATTTAATACTAACAATAAATTAAAATGTCATATTTTGTAATTTAAGGGTTATTATGTCTGTAAATACTGTTTAGTCTTTGGAGTATAACGGCTAGATAGAGGATTGATTTATAAAACTCAAAGTACTGTTTTAGGGGAAATATCTGCTATATTCTATAAAAGATACAAGTTGTTCTGACAGCCCCACGCAGAAGCCGTTACTGTGCCTGACCCTCATAACTCTTCACTCGGGCTGTCCCAGCCCGGGAGTTCCATTTTGTGTGTTGATGAAAAAAAAGACAGGCGGGTACCCATGGTGTGAAGGAACAGAGTTAAGAGTGGGGAAAGTTGCTTTCCGCCTGGTACTACATTGAGATTCATATTTTTCGTTCTTTCGCCAGACCTAACTTACGGACAACTAGGAAACCTGTTCTAGCTACCCGGAATTGCAGCCAGAGCACAAAGGCATTCCCATCCCGCCACCCAGCCCAAGTCCTGAGGGATTCCCTCCTGGGTTCCTCAGTACAAACTGTCACCCTACGGCTTCTTTCCTCCCTTCCACTACAAGTGACGGGTCACAAGCCACATTCGCCTTTGGCTGAACCCCAGGTAAATTAGCATGCGAGGCAATCTCAAGGCCCGCGTGGAATCCACGTCCAAGAAACACAAAGACGATCCCCCAAAACCCACCATGATCTTTGGCCGGAAGCAGACTCGCGCCACTCCCTACTGCACGTGCGCGAAAGCTAGCTGGTAGGGCCACAGGTACCGGAAGAACTGGGCGGTCTCTTCTCGCGAGAATGAGGTGCGCACAGGGGCGGGGGCTAGGAGCGTTACTAGAGAAACAGCTTTTGGATTTGTGCCTCCTCCTCAGCTGCCAGGAGAAACATGAAACTCAGTATTTGGGCCAGATTTTGAGCCCTCAGTAAAAATTATTAAAAATAAACCGAATTTTGTTTATGTTAATATAATTTTAGCTTCCTTAGGATCCTTATGGACTCACATTTTAAAGCAGAGTTTATTTAGCAGGGTGGTTGATTTGAGGGATAGCTGCAGCATTCATGGCAATGTGTCCAGACAAAGCATTTCTTGCTGTTCTTAAAATATGTACTTCCCTCCAATTGTTCTGACTCGGTGTAAATTCTTAAATATCCATGGGATGAGGGTGCAGCAGTAACAAGAAAAACCAAAATTTATTTTATTGAAGTAGTAATTTTGACATTAAAAACAAAACTCTTTTTCCCTCTGAAAACTCTTTGAAAGGGCCCCCTCCCCGCCCCGTAGTGGGGATTGAACACACAACCTTCCCACTGAACTACATCTCCAGCCCTTTAAATTTTACTTTGGATAAGGTCTTAGTAAGTTGCCAAATTTGAAAGCTCCTCCTGCCTCTGCTTCCCAGCGTGTGCCACCCCACCATGCCCAGCAGGACTTCCAATTTTGAGGAAAGGTTTTATCAGGGAGTTGTTTGGTTTTATTTAACAAATGCACCTGCAGTGTGCCACTGAGGCAGGCACACTGGCTTCCTGGGTACAGGACCAAGAACTCAGCCCGTGTAGACTCTCAGGTGCCATAGAGAATAAGTGAGGTGGATACAGCGAGCCCCTGGAAGATGCAGCCAGCTCAGCCCGGGTCCCTATGAGTTTCCTGGAGGTGTTGATGGCAGCCTGAGGTAGAGGGGGCCAATGACCACCCGCCAGCGCAGGGACTCATTCCAAATATGGAGAAGTGTGCTCCATAGTAAATTAAGCCATTTCACAGTAGACCAATGGATTGTTGCATCACTTATGTTCAATGACTAATTTTTTCCTAAATTGAGCCCAAGGTTAAATAGGAAAAAGGGAAATTTTCATTGTTGTATTGCATACATAAATCTGCAGGTATGGTAAGTTCTTAAAGATCTAACAGATTAAGTGAGCTTTTTATCAGTTTTATATTGCCTTAGCAGCAATGTTGTTTGGCTTTAGTTGTATATTTAAAGATGAACTAACTTGAAAATTTTTCGAACAAACCGAAAGGATTCAATTCAGTGTACAAATCAAAATTAAAATGTCAGGTTCTCACCTACCCCATATCTGACTCTTTCATAAGAAAAAATTGTATACATTTGATGTAATTCAGCAACAGGCCCATTGTTATGTATTGTATTTAGATGTCACCCCAAAGTTTCATGCGCTCATTGGTGGGACTTTGAGGAGGTGATTAACTCATGGGGGTATGGTACTCAGCAGTGGATTATACTGATTTTGTAGCCCGGTGAAGCCTGATGGGAGGAGATGGGTCACTGTGGGCATGGCCTAGAACAGTATATATCCTTCCTCCTCCTTGATCTCTCTCTGCTTTCTGCCTGCCATGCCATGGACTATTTCTCCTCCACCATACCTCTCTGCCATGCCGCCCTGCCATGGAGCCAACTGACTATGGACTGAAACCTCTACAAACTGTGAGCTAAAATAAACCTTTCCTTTCTTAAGTTGTAAGTGTTGAGTATTTTGTCCCAACAAAGAGAGAGTAACTAAGACACCCATACATATTTTCCTAATGTACCCTATGAGCTATTGTGTATTTATTCAGGGCTTAAAGAAAGAACACTACTGATCAGGCATGATGGCACATACCTGTAATCCCAGCATTCTGGGGGGCTGAGGAAGGAGGATTGTATCAGCCCAGCCAGGACAATTTAGCAAGACAATGTCTCAAAGTAAAAAATTTAAAAAGGACTGGGAGCTCAGTGTGAAGGTCCTGGGTTCAATCCACAGTACCACAATAAGTAAAGAAATGCATAAATAAATAATAAAATAAAAAAGAATACTACTAAACAAATTTGATAGACATTTGCTGTTATATATTAAGGCCACATAACAAAATATCACAGACTATGAGGTGCATCTCCCCCCACAAACCACAGACAGGGTATTCTAAACAACAGATATTTATTTTTTCACAATGTGGGAGGCTGGGAGCCCAAGACTAACACATCATTGTCACCAGGGTTAGCTTTTTCTGAGACCTGTCTCTTTAGTTTACAAGTAGCCACCTGATCTCATGTTTTCATGTGGCATATGTACAACTTTATGGGAAAAATAGATTGAAGTAGGGCTGGGGTTGTAGCTCAATGATAAAGCCCTTGCCTACCATGTGTGAGGCCCTGACTACCAGAAAAAAAAGGATTGAAACAGAATGAATGATATTGAGGCATGGAGGAAAGATACCATAAAGTTTTATAGAAGTAATTTGGAGAAATCTTCCCAAATCTTGGAAATCCAAGAAGTCAGTTCCGGTAACGGTTACTTAAGTATATGTCATAATCAGTTGCCATGGAAGCTGTTGTATGTTACAGAGTGAAATAGTTCCCATTCACCTTTGAGCATGTTTTCTTTTCTAAGCAAGAAGCCATCATGGGAGCCCTTTTGTCCTTATTTTGGGAGGTGGATCCTCCCCCTGTACCTTTAAGTCATTATAACCCAATTCAAGATTATGAATGCCAGAAGGATGACTCTTGCTGGGTGATTGGGAGCTTCCTGCTTTGGTACTTTATCATTTTATCAGTCCTGGTGTTCCTCTGTCGGGCTTCTGTCTGGGTAGGATATCTTTTTTCATTTTAAATAATATATTAGAGGGCCGGCTGCGCAAGGACCCAAGTTCGATCCCCGGTACCAAAATATATATATTAGTATATACTAGGGGATTTTTTCACTAAATAAATTCACTTGACTTTGTTCATGAAACTATTCTTTAAAAGTTTTTTTTGTTTTGTTTTGGTACCAGGGGTCAAACTCGGATCCTTGTGCTTGCAAGGCAGGCAGCAGAACCACTGAGCTAAATCCCCAGCTCCTTCTTTTCTATCCCAGTATATCTGTCTCTCCATCTTTGCTTTTACATGGTTGGCATTATATTGCATATATTTTCATACCTGCTTTTTAAGCTTAATAATATATTGTAAACACTTCACCAAAGTTATAGTCACTCAGTCGCATTTTTAATGATTGCTTAATTTTTTAGTCTTATGCTTGCACAATAAAAACGCTGCAATTTTGAGACATTTAGGTTGTTTGCAAATTGTTCATATGCCATATGATCCAGGGATAAAATTTTCTACAGGTTAAGGACTTCTAACCTCCTTTGTAGCCATATAATGCTAATGAAAGTTACAAAAGTTTGTCATTATCAAAAGGACACATATTGTAGGATTTGGGGTTTTTAGAGTAAGGCAATACATTCTTTCTGCAGAGGATATGATAAACAGAACTGAAGTCACCATTCTCTGTTTTTTTGGGTTTTTTTTTTTTGAGACAGGGTCTCACTATATAGTTCAGGCTGGCATTGAACTCACGACAATCTTCCTGCCTCAGCCTCCAAAGTGCTGGAATTACAGGCGTGGTGGCAGGTGTGAGCCATCACACCCAGCATAGAATCACCATTTTTGATTACCTATTAGCAGAAGAAAATGACATCATGGGAATGATATAGCCCATTTTATAGGACAGCAGTCCCCCAACATATATTGCTGACATGGAATCCTTGCTGGCCATTAATACCAGGTTGGTGATTATTAATCAAGCCACCATCATTTCACAGTATAGCCAGAGGTCTGGATTGGCAAGGGTCGGCTAGACTGAGTGCTATATCAGCTCTGGGCGGAGAGGAGAAGGTGTGTTGTGTCTTTGTCAGCTGGGCTCCGTTATAATCACCAAAAACCCCCTGCCCCTCTGAGCCACAAGTTTTCATCTAGGAGATTTAGCTCAGTGGTTCTGCTGGCTACCTCTCAAGCCCAAGGTCCCGAGTTTGATCCCCGGTACCAAAAAAAAAAGTAAGATACATATAAACTACCACTATTCTAAATCTCCTTTTGGAGAAGTGTTTACCTTAAGAAGCATTTAGATGAAAGTTCTTTTTTATTTTTTGGTACTGGGGATCGAGCTTGGGACCTTGCGCTTGAGAGGTAGGCGGCAGAACCAGAGGTAAATCTCCAGCCATATGTATCTTAGACTTCCTAGCTGAGTATATTGAAGTCTGGCCTGGCAAGAAAAGCTACTTTAGAAAATTAAGGAAAAATTGAAATTGCTCACTGGCCATTTTATTATGAAGACTACTTCAGAGGTCTAAGCTGTTCCCTTGCTCTCTTGCTTGGGTCAACTCTTTATGGTCATCAGGTCCTGAGCACCATTGGTCCAGCCCTCTGTAGGCAAGTAAGATATTATTTGCTTTTTTTTTTTTTTGAGACAGTCTTGCTGTGTAGTTCAGGATGGCCTTGAACTCACTATGTAGCCCAGATTGCCCTTGAACTCATGACATCCTCTTGCCTCAGCCTCCTGAGGCATGTGCTACCACACCCAGCAACTTTTGTTAAATTCATAAGGTTTTGTTAAATTGTTAAGTTTGATAAAGCCCAAGGAAATTAAGTGACTTGTCCTGTCACACAAGTGGTTAGTGACAGAATGATGAAGGGGGAATAGACCTAGATTTCCTGTCATGTTATTTGTTAACTTCAAAGCACAGTTTTAAATGTTGAATTAAATCTATTCAGTGCTGATTAAAACCTTAATTATTTTAGGGGTTTCCTCTTTCATTTTGTACCCTTGTGGCAGCTACAATTGGTTGGACTGCTTCTTCTGAAGGGTCCCAGATTGGAAATCTGAGAACTATAGGAGAGTTAGTCAAAGAGGATGGAATTTTTCCTTCTCTTTGAACTTCTTCATTTTTTCTGTTAAATTATGAGCCTTTATTTACAAACCTTGAGGTAATGGTGGAAGCACAATGGAAATGTGGTGGTAATTATCCTCCAACATGAAGTGGGCTGCTTTCCTCTGGATTTGCCACTTTTGAAGATGCATTTATCCTTTTGCTTTCAGAGACCACAAATACTCTGTTTAGTTTATAGATTTGTTTAATATTTCTTCAGATTGCTGTGCTATTATTTTTCTGGGCAGTGTTAGTCCAAAATCTGTATTTTGCTTGTGTGGAAATGGAGCTGAGAGGTGTTAAGTGGCTTGGTAAGATCGCAGAGTTGAGTCCTGGTAGGGAGACAGAGCACAGCCCACATTTTCTGCCCAGCCCCTCCGGCAGGGATGGCTGCTGTTTTCACTCACTAAGTCACACACAGAGACAGCTTATAAAATGCTTTTCGTAACCACAATTCATATGATTCCACTTAACTTAATGCAAAATCTTTCTTTTGATTTTATGGGGTTTTTTTTGACTTGACATCAAATAAGGAAGCTTTCTGTGGAAATGATATAAGCCCAATAAGTGTTTTAAAACACCTTTGCCTCAAGGAAGGGACAAGAAAAAAAATGAAAATAGAAGGAAAAAATGGAAACAAAGTTTTTGTACACAGAGGGGAGCAACTTGAGGGAGGGAATGGGATAAAATAAAATAAAATTTATTAAACATCTTTCCCCTTCATTACAAAAGTACGCATTACAGAAAATGTGGAGATTATAGAAAAACACACAAAATGAAACAAAAAGCCCTCCTAATGATGTAGAAATAAACAAGTATAACTTTTAGGTTCCTAAACTTCCTATCTACGGAGGCTCAAAACATTTTTTTAAAAAAGATCTTTTGGGATGGAGACAAAAAAGATATCTTTCTGTTTTTGTGACAGGATCTCAGTCTGTAATTCAGGCTGGCCTCTAACTCGTGGCAATCCTTCTGTACTCAGGAGGCTGAGGCAGGAGGATCACTGTGAGTTCAAGGCCAATCTGAACTACATAGTGAGTGAGTTCAAGGCCAGCCTGAACTGCATAGAGACCCAGTGTCAAACAACCACTACCACCAAGATAACAACAACAACAACAACAACAACAAAAGATTTTAAAAGAGGACTTCAACTGTAAGATTTTCAAAAAATGGTTATTATAATCCAAAAAGTAAAATAGTTTCTCATTAGAGATACAAATAAAGCAATGGGCCAAGGATCTTGGATTGGTGTTACAAATATCCAATGCTACTTTTCAACCCAAAGGAAATTTGACCGTCTATATGAATTCATTTTTCCTAATTGTAGACAATTGAAATAAATAGAAGGGAAAAAGTCACTGTTTCACAGTGTAAAGCCAACCATTGGACCACTTGTATACATGTATTCCTTAAAGTCTTTTTAAAATATTTTTAGCTAACTCATGATCATACTGTTATATACAAATTTGCATCTTTGGGCCAGGGATTTAGCTCAGTGGTTTCGCTGCCTGCTGTGCAAGCACAAGAACCCAAGTTCGATCCCTGGTGCTAATAAAAAAATAAAACTAAAAAAAAATTTTGCATCTTCATTTTTAGCTCAATATTGGAACATACTTCCTTATGTTATAGCCTACTTTTATTATAATTTTTTTTAGCTATATCTTATGTGATTGTCATAATTAGCTTTAAATATGGTCTATTTTAAGTTTTGGACTTTTGGGTTTTATATCATCCTAATTATACTGATGACTATTTCTGTATACAAACTTTGTCTTTGTGTGTGTGGGTATTATTTCTGATGACAGATTCCCAGAGAAAGAATTATAGGTCAAAGGTATTAATGAATATTTCTAAACTTTTTGATACAGTCTGAAAGAGTTGCCTTATATTTGTATCTTTTGGCACAATCATTTTCAGCATCAAAGAGGGATATTAATTTGAAAAATGGGACAAATATACTAATGGAGCATTGGGCAGAATGTTTGAAATTGGATCTATTCAAGGAAATCTATTTCTTCTGATTTCTGAAGCCATCCATGCTTGGGATGCAGTTTGATGAGAGAACGATGTGCTGAGTGTGGACAGCATTTGGAGGAAAATATCTGAAAGAGTAAGGAGATAATAAGTCTATTAATTCCAGTAAAGAGCTCTGTATATATAGATGTCCCATATCAGACATCTTATTTAAAGAACCATCAACATTGGTGATTCTTTTTGTTTTGTACTGGGGATTGAACTCAGGACTTTGCGCTTGTGAGGCAGGCGGTGGAACCACTGAGCTAAATCCCCAGCCCAAGAACCATCAACACTGGGTGATTTAGCTCAGTGGTTCTGCTGCCTGCCTCAAAAGCACAAGGACCTGAGTTTGATCCCTGCCCCCTGCCCCTGCAACCAAGAAAAAAAAGAAAAAAAAAAAGAACCATCAACAGCATGGGCTGATAAAATGGTCTTAAAATTTTTTGTAAACTAATGTGTGTACTGTCAAATCTATTTTTTCTCTCTTTTTCTATTTTTTTTTGTGTGTGTCTGTGTGTGGCAGTGGAAATTGAACCCAGGGCCTTTGCATTGAGCTACATCTCCAGTTCTTTTTTAGTTTTCATTTTGAGACAGCAACTCACTCATTTGTTAAATTGTCCACACTGGGCTCAAACTTGCAATCTTTGTGCCTCAACTTCCGAGGGTACTGGTATTGGTGTGTGCCATCACTTCAGGCTCAAATCTGCTTTTAAATAAAAACTCCTTGTATGGAAATGGGTACAGGAAAACTTTATAACCTATAACTCTTCATCAATATTATTTCCCCTCTTGCCTTTGTGCCCTTTTGCTTGGTTCAAGAGTTTGGGAGATTCTGCTATCAAAGTATGGTCTCCTGAACAGACAGAAGCAGGATCTCAGCAACACAGGAACTTATCTAGATAGCAAGTACTTATCTATAACAGCACTGAATGTTTAAATTAGTCATTATCAAAAGGCCTCAAGCAATACTGCTCCATAACAAGTAAATATAAATGGAAAACAAACTGAGGCCACACTTACTAACTGACATTTCTGAAACAGATATCTGAGAATAAACTGGATGGAGACATTGGGACGAGTGCATCAGTGAGTAAAGGTGAGAGCCATCCATGCTTGGGATGGGGTTTGACGAGAGAACGATGTGCTGAGTGTGGACAGCAGGCAGCAGTGGGGAAGCCAGGTGTGCTGGGAGGCCTCTGCCCAGCAGTGAGGCCCAGTGTGAGCCCTCGTTTCTCTCCTTCCCAGTGCAGAAGGGAGCTGCTTCTGGAGAGCACCACAAGCTGAGTTATAGAGCCCAGGCTTGCCTGCCATTCCTCAGCACATTCCCTTCACACGTTTTCATTTTTGGTGCTATTAAAGAGAATGAACTGCATATGACATCTTTTTTTGTTCTGACATGCTATTTATTTTAAAATTTTTATTAGTACTACTTACAGTTCATAATGATCACATTCTTGTGGTCATGTACATAACACATCTTAATTCTTTTTACTTCCTCTCCCTTGTCCCCCCCCTTCCCTCTTTGTCCTTTTCCCATTTACAAAATATCTATCTTCCTATTTCCCATTATCTATCTTTTATTTTGCTCTTTAATTTTTTATACACTGAATTTCTCATAAAAGAGAAACCATGAAATATTTAAGCTTGTATGTCTGATATATTTTACTTAACATTGTAGTCTCAAGTTGCATCCATTTTCCTAAAAATGTCTCAGATTTATCCTTCTTCATGGCAGAGTAGTACTCCATTGTGTGTAAATATCACATTTTCTTTATCCTTTCATCTGTTTTAGCTATTAATGAATTGTGCTGCTATAAGCATGGTTATGTATGTATCACTTGATAACTTTTTTTTTTTTTTGGTACTGGGGATCAAACTCGGGTCCTTGTGCTTGCGAGGCAAGTGGCAGAACCACTGAGCTAAATCCCCGGCCCAATATCTTTTAAAAATAACTTATAAAGTACACTGTGCTGGTGAATGTTTAACATTTGACTCTTCAAAATATTTGTATGGATACATGTATTTATTTTTTAAATTACTGATATATGCACTGGGCATGGTGGCACATTCCTGTAATTCCAGCATGCAGGAGGCAGAGTCAGTAGTATTACAACCAATTTGAGGGCAACCTGAGCTAAGTAGTGAGTTCAAATCCAGCCTGAACTTCATAGCAAGACCTTATCTTGAAAAAAATTTTTTTTTTAAAAAATGTTTTTATGGGGTCAGGGATTTAGCTCAGTGGTTCTACCGCTTGCCTTGCAAGCGCAAGAACCGAGTTTGATCCCCGGTACCCCCCCAAAAATAAATAAAATAAAATAATGTTTTTAGTGGGCCAAGGATTTAGCTCAGTGGTTCCGCCACCTGCCTCGCAAGCTCAAGGACCCAAGTTTGATCCCTGGTACCAAAACAAAACAAAACAAAAAAAATGTTTTTAGTGACATAAAGGATATATATCACAGAATTTATAAGTAATAAAATATGCAGTACTCTTTTTTTGTACCGGGGATTGAACTCAGGACCTAGCGCTTTCAAGGCAGGTGGTGGCACCACTGAGCTAAATCCCCTGCCCAAAATCTTTTTTCTTTCTTTTGGTACCTGGGATGGAACTTGGGACCTTGTGCTTGTGAGGCAGGCAGCAGAGCCACAGCTGAGTCCCAGGACCTTACAGTACTCCTTATGATAAATTCCACGTAGACAGCTGAGACACACAAGATGTTCTCCTTGAGTTTTGGCAGGCCCTCACACCCTCAGCCATCCCATGTCTGCATCTGATGAAAAGATGTAGTTCCAGCACAAATGTTATCTTCCTTAAAGTTGAGGAATAAGATGACAGTGAAACAGAAGATGTATGTTAGAACTTAACTTGGTTGTCTTTGCAGAAAGAGATAATAGCTTTATAGTACTGGAAGAGTATCTTTCATTTTGGGGGGCTATTCACAATGTAGTAGTTAGAGGCATGACATATTCACTATCACTTTTTCTTGTTTGTTTTTGTTTTTTGAGACAGCATCTCACTGTGTAGTTCAGGCTGGCCTTGAACTCACCTCTATCAAACTGGCAGCAGTCCTCCTGCCTCAGCCTCTTGAGTGCTGGGATTACAGGCATCCTCCACCAAACCTGGCTAAATTTTAGTTATTACTGTTTTAAACATCTCACAAAATTCCTGAAAATTGATCAGTTCTTCTGAGTTTGTCTGAGCCAACTCCAACATACCATTGCTTAAAGAAAAAAAAAATCCTTCTTAGGATTGCTACTCAAATCACATTCATGTATGCCCTTGAATTTTTGAGACCTCAAGGCAAAGGAAAAAAAAGTCCCTTCTTTGGAAAAGTTTGGAGGTCTTTCTCTTTGAGTTTATATTTTAGTGTCACAAAATTTCAAAAGTTAAATTGTGTGTGGTGGCTCACGCCTGTCATCCCAGCACTTGGGAGGCTAGGTAAGAGGATCACTGCAAGTTTGGAGCCAGCCTTGGCTATATAGTGAGTTCAAGCCCAGCTTTTGTACTACATAGAGAGACCCTGTCTCAACAAACAAACAAACAAACAAACAAACAAACATCTGATATGTCAAGCATCTATCTGATCCTTCTGACTGCCTGACCCTTCTGGCCTTTACGAGATTGGAGTATGATACCAGAAATGTAGTCAGTGTCTGGTATTTGCAAATGACTTGACAACCAATCAGTAAGAGTGAGCCCACTTGTGTCAGGCTTCATGGGTGATGTATAATTCTAGTAACAAACAGTGAACCTAACTTGTTGATTTCCTTTGTTGGTTAGCAAGCAGAGAAAATTCCTATCAGCGGCAAAGCAAAGGTGGTTGCTGGGACTCTTCACAAGTGATGAAGAAACAAAAGCAGAGTCAACTTGCCCCCATCACTGACTCAGAAGTAGCTTTGGTCAGGTGCCATTTTGAAGGCCACAAGGCGAATCAGATTCAAGACAGTGAAACCACCGAGGGTGACAGTGAAGAATCCAACTCGGGAGCCTCTTCGTGGAAGGAGAGTGAAAGTGAATACCACCCCTCACCAGTCAGCATTCAGAAGAGAAAAGTAGCTCAGAGGCACCAGACTCTGGGAAGTCACCAAGCCCGAGAAAAGTCTTGCCTCCACTGCAAAGCCATGAGAACCAATGAATGGTTGACACGTCATTTCCTACAAAGAGCTTCTGGAAGGGTTCCCACAAAAGAAGGTACTCAAGAGGAAAGTTCCATACCTGAGATCAACACAAAGTTCAGTAAAATTTGAATTTTGTCGAGCCTTTACCTTATTTGAAGCCAAATGGAAGAGATGAATAAAATATGAAAAATCACCAGAGTCCTAGGTGAGGAGACTTTCATAATAAAATCTCTCTACTAACAAAAACATACTTGGAATCCAAGAGGTAAAATTTCAGACAATTCTTTGTTCCAAAAAAGGCCAGTGAATATGTGCATGGCACCATGGGAACACTGAAGCTCTGGATCCATTATGATTTTTTTTTTTTACTCAAAAGAGCACAGGACAGCTACATCAGGTCTTGAGTGTATGTATTTTATTTAAGTCTATAATTCAATGAGAGAGTTCTATGAGAACATCTTTATGTTGAGAAATCATTTATGGGTTTTGTTTTGGTTTTTTTGGTACTGGGGATAGAACTTGGGACCTTGTGCTTGCGAGGCAGGCAGCAGAACCACTGAGCTAAATCCCCAGTCCTAGAAATTATTTATGTTTATTCATACGATTTGATTGTTTGACTGAATTTGATTATTTGAATGAACTAGGGTTATAATTTCAGGTGATTCTACCAGAGCTATGTTGCTACCTATGTCCTACATGGGACTATTGAAGAGGGGTTTAAGGGCCTAGAATAAGACCTGACTCTTACAAGCAGTGGAGGCAGCATGACCCAAAAGGACAGCTGGACCATAGACTGTCCACAGTTCTTGTCTCAGAGGCATGGAAAATACTAAAGAAAAATATTTTCTGATACTTGTTAAAATGGTAAAGAAGACTTCTTTGAAGACTGTTGTAATGAAGGTCAATAGGGGAGATAAGTTGAGCTCAACTCCTAATACAACAAAGACAAGTGGAGATTTATAGCCAAAGAGGAGGATGAGAAGGGGGATGGAAAATTACTAAAAGTAGGAATAAATTCCTGCTAAATTGACTAACAAGACTCTTGCTAAAGGCAGGTCAAAGACTTTTACAACAAAGGTGGGAGATGACAGAGTAGATCAGATAGCAAGGATTTTCAGGTATCAAAGGTTGGGGGACTCTTGCTAAACTTAGTTCTTAGAAGCATTCAGAACACGACAGCACCACATCAATTAGACTTCCTGACTGTACGCACAGAAAGGGACAGACCAACCAAAGCCAAGGGGATTTGCTGGGTGCTCCTGGTATTGTAGATAGCTAAGTTATAAATATTACAGCCAGTTATACAGGGCTGGGCCTTCCCCACGGAGGACAGCCGTGGCCCAAGGCACATTCACTGAAGGCCAGAATTGTAAAAGGAGAGAAACTGCACACCCTTGTGCTTCCCCTGGAGATAAATAGCAGTGATTGATATTCTAAATAGGTATCAGTCACCTGGCTGGGGGGTCAAGATCTTAACCCAGCCTCTCCAGGAAATATCCCTGACTCCCACCCTTACTGAAAGTCCTTGTACACTTGCTACGTGACTTGCTTCCCAATTGAACCACCATTACCTAAGTGGCTATACTTGTAACTTTATTGGATGTTCATAGCTGTGGCCCACGTTGTACCCATGTGGGTTTCACCCTGTAAAACTTCTCTGTAAAGTGGGGTCTTTGGCTACCCACTTGGGACCCCTCCTGGCTCTCAGGAGCTTTCCTATCAATAAATATCATCTTATTTAAAAAAAAAGAAGAAGAAGAAGAAGAAGCATTCAGTACAGTTGAGGCCTAGAAGATGGCTCAGAGGATTCTGATTAAAATTTGGTCCAAAAAAAAATTTAGTCAAGCCAAGTGTGGTAGTGCATGTCTATCTATAATCGCATCCCTTGGGAAGCTGAGGTAGGAAGATTGCTGCAAGTTCAAGGTCAGTTCAGGCTACTAGTGAGTACAAGGCTCCCCTGAACTTCACAGTGAGGCACTGTCTCAAAAAACAAAACAAAACAGGGCCGGGGATTTAGCTCAGTGATTCTGCCACCTGCCTCGCCTCGCAAGCGCAAGGACCCAGGTTCGATCCCCAGCACCAAAAAAAAGGAAGGTGGGCCAGGGATTTAGCTCAGTGGTTTCGCCACCTGCTGCGCAAGTGCAAGGACCCAAGTTCAATCCCCAGTACCAAAACAACAGCAACAACAACAACAACAACAACAACAAAACAAAACCAAAAAAAAGGAAGAAAAACCAAAACATAATAAAATAAAAGGTGGTCAAAGAACTTTGATCACAAACTGGCTGGCATTCAGATATGGTTGGGGCCAAGTTTTCCATTATATGGGACCCTTGCTGCGAGGAATTTAAGTGGGCCTAGATAAATGTGTGGCCATTCTGGAGATCATTCTCCATTTGGATGGCAGGAACCCCAGCTGGCATATAAAGTAAAACCCAGGTCCCAGAGGAAGGGGCTGGCAAGAGCAAAATACTATAATAAGGCAGGGACTAAGGCCATGGGGTTAGAGTTCAAAAATACTTTAAGTCTTAAGGAAGGATTTGGGTGTGGTATATAGTCAAGAATACCGCCTAATTCTATGAACTGAGCCTTTGGTGGGGGTCAGGGCAGGAACAGGACAGGCATAGAGACCAGAGAGCTGTGACTCTGGGCACAGGAGTCGTTCCTGACAAGACAGATTCCTTAACTGATGGTGATAGTGAGAACTTGGCAGCAATGTGAGAACCCAAATCATTCACTAGGCCACTTGAATCTAGGATGTGGATGATGTTTCTGAGACCATTTGTGGAGTCTTTATTTTATGGAGATGGTCTTGGATTGGCTCTGAAGGCACAGGTGGGAAGCAGGGTACCTTAAGATTCAGCTCAAGCACCAGCCTTTTCCACAGTGACTTTCCCTACTCCTTGTCCCTCTCTGTCTGTCTCCTCTGGTTCCCCCAGGCAGAACTCACCATGACTTCCCTTATGTGCCAGTGTGCCCTGGAAATTCTTCCAGTGGCTTTAATATTTTGATCAATGTATTGATTGCATGTCTCTGTTATCTATCTATCTATATTTATATCTATATATCTGCATATATCTATATATCCATCCTTAAACATAGAATCCAGGATTTGTCATCTTTGTAGCACAGTGATAGACCATATGGTAGACAAATAATGTAGTTGAAACAATACACAAGAGGATTCATGAATGAAAGGGGAGGATCTGGGGAAACAGATGAATTGAGGCAGGGGCCAATATCCACAATAATGATGATTATTGACTAATAAATGAATAATGTTAATACTGTATTTCCAGTTTGATATGATAAAAAGCTTAATTTTCTTTATCTATGTAGCACTCCCCCAACAAACATACAAAAGGACCAAGTTCAAAATATAGTAGAAAATTGCACAGGCAGGATTTAGACCCAGGACATCTGGCTTCAGAATTCAGGGTCTTAATTATAGTGATCTTAATCATTATTCTCTGAAGATGAAGATATTGATTTCCAGGTAAGTTAATCATCACTTCCCACACAGTCATTAATGATCCCCAAGCAAATAAAACTTCACCAGGGTCTTTTGGAAAAGGAAGACAATGACTATTTCCCAGATAACAGATCTAGAATATGCACCAATGACACTATTAACAAATCATTTATATCAAAAGCTGTTACTTTTTCTGGTTTCATTCATGGGGCTAGAAGAGACCATAGCCAGGGGGCAGGAGATGGCTGTCTACAGAGCGAAGAAATTAAGGTTGGTTCAGTATGGGTGGGACCATTAACCTCATTAATATGAAAGAATTAATGAGGAAAGCTGTGAAAACAATGAACTAAAAACAGAGGCTAAAAATATTTTTAGTATATGTGCTGCCAAAGCAAGCACACAGAGGCTAAAAATAGGTGGGAGAATACTCAAGCCAAGAAGAGAATTGCATCGAACCAAAAAAAAAAAAAAGAGAGACAAAGACATGGTAAGATGCAAAGCAGAAGCATGGGCAGGTAGGTTGGGACTGGATGAATGAGTGAGGTACAGAACCAGTGGGGTAGGAGATGGCTCAGGAAACCAGGGCTGCAAATACTGGTGATGGCTGGCTGTTATCTTTTTGAAATTAATTTTATTGGTACAATTTGATATGTGGCAGACCCCCCTGGCCAGGCTTAGAGCAGGCTGTAATAAGGAGGAGGCATTCTTTCCTTATAATTGGCCACATTGCACTCAGAGCCAGACAGAAGCCTACGTGACTCATAGGAGCATGTCAGATATGCCACAGGCTAGAATAGTTTCCTTGTCAATGGCTGCCCAGGAGATCTAAGTCCTGATCTGTGAAGCTGCAGGGCTCCTAAGTGAGATAACTGTGTCTGAGGACTTTATGGTTCCAGACCACATTCCATTCCTAGAGCTACCTCTCTCGTTTCAGTAACTTAGTAGTTAACCACAACCTATCTTTGTCTGTCCTGCTCCTTTTGGAAGAATGCCTCTCCTTTCTACAAGCCTTGCCTGTGTCAGCTGATATCACAGGATGCCATAAGTATCCCCCTACCCTATTCTTACCCATGCCTGTGTAATCAATAAATACTGGTAGTCCTGGATGCTTGGGGTCCTTGACACATGCTTGGCATGGCCCATCCCAGTTCCCCGCTTTCTGTTTAAGTCTTGTTTCTGTGTCTTTCCTTTCATCTTGTGTTATATTGCCTAGCAGGAGATTGAGACTCTCAGTTGGGGTCCTCGGTATTGAGATATATATATCTCTATCTCTATCTATCTCTCTCTCTCTCTCTCTATATATATAATGGTTACATTCATCATACGGAGTATGAACTTGTATATAATATATCTTTTTTCCCCTTTATTCCACTCCCCTTCCTTCAACCCTTCTTCCCCTCCCCATTTACAAAAGCTTTGTTTCCATTTTTCCCCTTCTGTTCTCTTTTTTTCCTCCCCTCCCTGTTCTTTTTCCCATTTGAACATTTTCATCCCACTTCCCAATATCCATCATCCATTTGGGTCCTTATTTACCCTTTTGGTTTCTCATACAAGAGAAACAATGTGATATTTAAACACGTGTGTCCAATTTATTTCACTTAAAATTATGTTCTCAAGGTGCATCCATTTACCTAAAAATGTCTCAATTTTATCCTTCTTTATGGTAGCATAATACTCCATTGTATATAAAAACCACATTTTCTTTATCCGTTCATCCATTGATAAATATGTTGGCTGTTTCCAAGATTTAGCTATGGAGGGAAAAATGGCTGAGCAGTGAGTGCCAGCAACTCAGGTTCTCCAGGACAAAGTGTCTAGAGTCTGGAAAACAAACAACACTTTGGAGAGGAAGTGAAGTGAGTGGAGGGTACATGGGAACCACAGGGGAACTGACAGAGATGGAGGAATGGA